CTTCATGATTAGGCTGCTTTCTTCAGGTTAGAGACCTCCCCTGTCAAGTTTAGACAAAGGGCACAGCAGTCAGGCGATTTTACATAAAGTTCATCGAGGACACAAACTCCCGGTTGTGCATACATCGTCAAGGACATCATAGCGATTTACCTAGGCTTGACGTGATACAAGTGGATCGAAATCCACAGCGTTTCAGACTACACCTGAAATTCATCATCAAGCTACTAACACAACTAGATGGTTAGTAAACCTACTAAGTTTCTGTTTGGAGAATAAGCGGAAGTTTCACGTACCAACTTGGGGATATGAATATAGTGCTACAACACCTCACAAGTGAGGTTTATGAACATGCCTGGATGACATACTTGGACTCCATGATACGATGATGCTATCACAGCTGGCCAGCAAGAGCACTGTAAATTTATCTCCACCAAACCAAACAGGAAGAAAAATACAACAGATTTTTTCCTCTATCATCAACTACGCGGGAGTGTAGTCTCACGTACTATATCTCCGTTTGGATCAGAACTGTCATACTACGTGCATACAAGACAGATGGACCTAATCCGACCCTCCATGAGCTTTAATACTCTTGATATTAGAGCCCTAACTTCTACAATTTCATCTACACAAATGTTATTTGAAATAATGGAGGGTTTATTACTGTAGATCCGATATGGTGGTTTGCCAACCATTATCTGAGAGATATCACCACCGAGGACATCTCAGGTATCCACCAATTCGATCCCATGGTCCTTGCACAACAGTTGACAGTTCCTCGGAGAAGATAAGTCAATCTTACAGATTTTACTTATCTTATAACAGTACTAAATAGCTTCATGCTATATATAATTTGCTTAAGCTCGTTTTTATCATCACAGTGGTTACATGATAAATGCATTAGCTAACAAACTCTACAGAGTTTTTTTTGGCTATTATATCGTAGCTTAAGTCAAGTATATTTTAAGCATAGTACTATACTCATATTGTAAAAATACATTAGCTAACAAACTCTGGAGTTTTGCTATTATATAGGTAGCTTAAAGCTCATTCATATCTTAAGCTCAGTACTATGTTTATATCATATAACTATATTAGCTAACAAACTCTAAAGAGCTTTTGCTATTTGGCTTAAGTTTCATCATATCTTAAGCAATATGGTTACATTATAACATGTATTAGCTAACAAACTCTATGGAGTTTTTTGCTATTATATATGTAACTTAAGCTTATTCATATCTTAAAGCTTGGTACTATGTTTATAGCATATAGGTATATTAGCTATCAAAACTCTAAAAGAGTTTTTGCTATTATATATTGGGCTTAAGTTTTCATCATATTTTAAGCTTTATGGTTACATTATATCATGTATTAGCTAACAAACTCTCTGGAGTTTTGCTATACATATGTAGCAAAAGGTTTCTTCATATCTTAAGCTCAATACTATGTTGATACCATATAAGTATATTAGCTATTAAAACTCTAAAAGGTTTTTGCTATTATATATTTAGCTTAAGGTTTACTTCATATCTTAAGCTCAATACTAGGTCTAAATCAACATAATAAAATGTATTAGCTATCAAACTCTCTGAGTTTTACTATTATATATATATAGCTTAAGTTTAATCATATCTTAAGCTCAGTACTATGTTTATAACATAAAAGTATATTAGTTAATAAACTCTAAGGAGTTTTTTTGCTATATACATTTAGCTTAAGTCTAATCATATCTTAAGCTTAGTACTATGGTTACATTATAAATCTATTAGCTAATAAGCTCTACAGAGTTTTTGGCTATTGTATATGTAGCTTAAGTTAATTATATCTTAAGCACAGTACTATACTCATATTGTAAAATATATTAGCTAACAAACTTTACTAAGTTTGGCTATATATATATGTAGCTTAAGTTAATTATATCTTAAGCACAGTACTATACTCATATTGTAAAAATATATTAGCTAACAAACTTTACTAAGTTTGGCTATTATATATGTAGCTTAAGTTAATTATATCTTAAGCACAGTACTATACTCATATTGTAAAAATATATTAGCTAACAAACTATACTAAGTTTGGCTATTATATATGTAGCTTAAGTTAATTATATCTTAAGCACAGTATTATACTCATATTGGCAAAATATATTAGCTAACAAACTCTACTAAGTTTGGCTGTATATATGTAGCTTAAGATAATTATATCTTAAAGCACAATACTATACTCATATTGTAAAATGTATTAGCTAACAAACTTTTACAAAGTTTGCTGTTATATATATAGCTAAGCTTATTCATATCTTAAGCTCAGCACTGTCTATATCATATAAATATTTTAACTAACAAACCCTAAAGAGGTTTGTTATTATATAATTAGCTTAAAATTAATCATATTTTAAGCTTAGTGCTATGTTTATATCTTAAAGTATTTTAGCTAACAAACTCTAAGGAGTTTATACTAGCATATTAACAAGCTTAAGTCTATTAGTCTTAAGCATTGTATTAATATTATATATACTTATCATAATAAGTACATTGTAATAACTTACTCTATATGGCAGCTGATAAGCTGGCAGCAGGAATTCATCAGTTCAATGCCTTTATGAAGTTCTCATAGGGTTATTACAATCATCACAGTTCAAATCACTAATTATTAAAATCCAAAGTATTATATATTCCCACCTCAGCTCTGTTGGATTCTACAAACAAAAGGCATGAGTCAGGATAAAGGAAAATATGTAATTTTTTGAGTAAAATTGATATTTTATACTTATCCTGACTCATGAAGGTCAGCCCTCCCATCCTCCCCAAATAACACTTTGGATTTCCCTGTAAATTCAAATGTTGGGCTCAGTATATGAGGAGAGAGTGAGGCACATGGGTAGAGGTGGCGCCCTCGTTCCCGAGCTTGTGGAAGGGAGGTAACTCGTGGTGTACTAATTAGTGATTTTACATTGAAGAGAACTTCAATTAGGGAGATACAAGTGTTCCACTATGTTCGCAAGAGGAAGGAGACAAGCAAAAGAGCATGAGTCAGGATAAGTATAAAATATCAATTTTACTCAAAAAATTACATTTCTGACACTGTCACTTTATCCTTCCAGGAAGCCTTCACACGTGCGTTTGTGTAGCGGGACAAGTCATGGTTAGTGTGTGACATTTATCTGTATATGTATTTCTGACACTGTCACTTTATCCTTCCAGGAAGCCTTCACACGTGCGTTTGTGTAGCGGGACAAGTCATGGTTAGTGTGTGACATTTATCTGTATATGTATTTCTGACACTGTCACTTTATCCTTCCAGGAAGCCTTCTGCGCAGCGTTTGTGTAGCGGGACAAGTCATGGTTAGTGTGTGACATTTATCTGTATATGTATTTCTGACACTGTCACTTTATCCTTCCAGGAAGCCTTCACACGTCGCGTTTTGTGGAAGGGACAAGTCATGGTTAGTGTGTGACATTTATCTGTATATGTATTTCTGACACTGTCACTTTATCCTTCCAGGAAGCCTTCACACGTGCGTTTGTGTAGCGGGACAAGTCATGGTTAGTGTGTGACATTTATCTGTATATATATTTCTGACACTGTCACTTTATCCTTCCAGGAAGCCTTCACACGCAAGGGCTTGTACGGGACGCGTTTGTGTAGCGGGACAAGTCATGGTTAGTGTGTGACATTTATCTGTATATATATATTTCTGACACTGTCACTTTATCCTTCCAGGAAGCCTTCACACGTCACGTCGTTTGTGTAGCGGGACAAGTCATGGTTAGTGTGTGACATTTATCTGTATATATATTTCTGACACTGTCACTTTATCCTTCCAGGAAGCCTTCACACGTGCGTTTGTGTAGCGGGACAAGTCATGGTTAGTGTGTGACATTTATCTGTATATGTATTTCTGACACTGTCACTTTATCCTTCCAGGAAGCCTTCACACGTGCGTTTGTGTAGCGGGACAAGTCATGGTTAGTGTGTGACATTTATCTGTATATATATTTCTGACACTGTCACTTTATCCTTCCAGGAAGCCTTCACACGTGCGTTTGTGTAGCGGGACAAGTCATGGTTAGTGTGTGTCTGTATATGTATTTCTGACACTGTCACTTTATCCTTCCAGGAAGCCTTCACACGTGCGTTTGTGTAGCGGGACAAGTCATGGTTAGTGTGTGTCTGTATATGTATTTCTGACACTGTCACTTTATCCTTCCAGGAAGCCTTCACACGTTGCGTTTGTGTAGCGGGACAAGTCATGGTTAGTGTGTGTCTGTATATGTATTTCTGACACTGTCACTTTATCCTTCCAGGAAGCCTTCACACGTGCGTTTGTGTAGTGGGACAAGTCATGGTTAGTGTGTGTCTGTATATGTATTTCTGACACTGTCACTTTATCCTTCCAGGAAGCCTTCACACGTGCGTTTGTGTAGCGGGACAAGTCATGGTTAGTGTGTGACATTTATCTGTATATATATTTCTGACACTGTCACTTTATCCTTCCAGGAAGCCTTCACACGTGCGTTTGTGTAGCGGGACAAGTCATGGTTAGTGTGTGACATTTATCTGTATATATATTTCTGACACTGTCACTTTATCCTTCCAGGAAGCCTTCACACGTGCGTTTGTGTAGCGGGACAAGTCATGGTTAGTGTGTGACATTTATCTGTATATATATTTCTGACACTGTCACTTTATCCTTCCAGGAAGCCTTCACACGTGCGTTTGTGTAGCGTGACAAGTCATGGTTAGTGTGTGACATTTATCTGTATATATATTTCTGACACTGTCACTTTATCCTTCCAGGAAGCCTTCACACGTGCGTTTGTGTAGCGGGACAAGTCATGGTTAGTGTGTGACATTTATCTGTATATATATTTCTGACACTGTCACTTTATCCTTCCAGGAAGCCTTCACACGTGCGTTTGTGTAGCGTGACAAGTCATGGTTAGTGTGTGACATTTATCTGTATATATATTTCTGACACTGTCACTTTATCCTTCCAGGAAGCCTTCACACGCGTCGCGTTTGTGTAGCGGGACAAGTCATGGTTAGTGTGTGACATTTATCTGTATATATATTTCTGACACTGTCACTTTATCCTTCCAGGAAGCCTTCACACGCGATGCGTTTGTGTAGCGGGACAAGTCATGGTTAGTGTGTGACATTTATCTGTATATATATTTCTGACACTGTCACTTTATCCTTCCAGGAAGCCTTCACCGTCGCGTTTGTGTAGCGGGACAAGTCATGGTTAGTGTGTGACATTTATCTGTATATGTATTTCTGACACTGTCACTTTATCCTTCAGGAAGCCTTCACACATAGTTAGTGTGTGACATTTATCTGTATATATGGCGTTTGTGTAAGCGGGACAAGTCATGGTTAGTGTGTGACATTTATCTGTATATATATTTCTGACACTGTCACTTTATCCTTCCAGGAAGCCTTCACACTGCATCGCCTTCTTGTGTAGCGGGACAAGTCATGGTTAGTGTGTGACATTTATCTGTATATATATTTCTGACACTGTCACTTTATCCTTCCAGGAAGCCTTCACACGATGCCTTTGTGTAGTGGGACAAGTCATGGTTAGTGTGTGACATTTATCTGTATATATATTTCTGACACTGTCACTTTATCCTTCCAGGAAGCCTTCACACGCGATGCGTTTGTGTAGCTGGGACAAGTCATGGTTAGTGTGTGACATTTATCTGTATATGTATTTCTGACACTGTCACTTTATCCTTCCAGGAAGCCTTCACACGTGCGTTTGTGTAGCGGGACAAGTCATGGTTAGTGTGTGACATTTATCTGTATATATATTTCTGACACTGTCACTTTATCCTTCCAGGAAGCCTTCACACGTGCGTTTGTGTAGCGGGACAAGTCATGGTTAGTGTGTGACATTTATCTGTATATATATTTCTGACACTGTCACTTTATCCTTCCAGGAAGCCTTCACACGTTGCGTTTGTGCACCACTACAGCCGGATTTCCCTGGTGTTGGTGCAGGCACTTGACCGGATGACCGTGGCCAACCGAGTGGTCCATATCAGCGTCCAGCTGTTTAGCAACGAGACCCTGGCGTCCAAGATGATGAGAGAGTGCAACCTGTTATATGTCCTTGTCCTCAGTCTCACGCACATGATCGAAGACATACGCACAGAGAGCACACTGGAGGGTATGGAAGTGTAATCATTTCAGCCCTAGAACCTGCCTAATTACATGTCATTGTATCCTAGGGGCGGTGGGGTAGCCTAGTGGTTAAAGCGTTGGCTCGTCACGCTGAAGACCCGGGTTCGAATCCCCACATGGGTAAAATGTGTGAAGCCCATTTCTGGTGTCCCCTGCCGTGATGTTGCTGGAATATTGCTAAAAGCGGCGTAAAACCAAACTCAGTGAGTGTCATTGTATCCTGATGATTGCACTATGTTGCTTATGAGATCAACCATTTGTTTGTTTCGCCCATGTGTGGTGGGATAGCCAGGTGGTTAAAGTGTTTCCTTCTAATGCCGAAGTCCTGGGTTCAAATCCCCACAGGGGTACAAAGTGTAAAAACCCATTTTTGGTGTACTTAGGTGTGATATTTCTGGAATATTGCTAAGATCGGTGTAAAACCTCACTCACTCACTCACTCACTCACTCACTCACTCACTCACTCAACCCACTCACTCACTCAACCCACTCACTCACTCACCCCTTTCGCTCGCTCACTCACTCACTCTCACTCACCCCATTCGCTCGCTCACTCACTCATCCCACTCACTCACTCACCCCATTTGCTTACTCACTCCACTCACTCTCTCTCACCTCACTCACTCACTCACCCCACTCACTCCCTCACCCCATTCGCTCACTCACTCATTCACTCACTCATTCACTCACCCCACTCCTCACCCCACTCACTCTCTCACTCCCCCCACTCACTCACTCACTCATTCACTCACCCCACTCTCTCTCTCACCCCACTCACTCACTCACCCCACTCACTCTCTCACTCATTCACTCACTCATTCACTCATCCCACTCACTCACTCACCCCACTCACTCACCCCACTCACTCTCTCACTCATTCACTCACTCATTCACTCACCCCACTCACTCACCCCACTCACTCATGTTGTAGATCCTGACCCAGCCAACAACTTCCACAATGTAGTGGACTGCAGTAACGACGTGATGAAGTCTCACTGCTACTGGCCCATCATCAGCGACCTGACCAACCTCCTCACCCACTCCTCTGTGGCCTCCAAGTTCCTCCAGGACGAGGAGCTGGTCACTATGTGGATGGAGCTCCTGTCCTACCTGCAAGGTCAGACTAGAAACATACACTGTCACCTATATTCAGGGATTTATCTGTGATTCAAAACATCAATGCCCTTTCAGGCAAATTGGGAAAAATGCTATATTTTGTTCAAAACTGGTAAATGTTTTTAAGCTCTTGTTTTCCCAAATTTAGAGGGATTTTCGAAGAAACCCATAATGTGAGGACAATGGACACTTTCTGTTATCATCCACACTGAATTTGGCTAGTTTATTCTGACAACATGATTAACTAAATCATAACTGTGGATTGGATGATATGTTATTTCCATTGATGTGAAGATGTGTGATCGCTGGGGAACTTTCTTATGGTAGCCACTGACCCGAGGTTTAACCAAGACCGGTTTAATCACAAAGGGTGTATTGATGGGGATGACTGTAATTTGACATTTCAATGCAGTAATGTAAAACTAGCATTAAAGTCTCCTAATATATTGGTCCAGTGATCCAATGAACTACTAGTTACCTCACAAGGCCATGGCGTTAGATGGAACTATAACAACATAGACTGGGAAATGTTTCACTCAAATTTTGATGCACGCTCCTGTAGCTCATATAACGGCCTGTGGAGATCCGGGTTAGAATTGGTCTTCGGTCATACATGCTTGTAGTAAGAGGAGACTAACAGGACAAGGTGGTCAGGCTCATTGACTTACCTCATCCCAAATGTGTAGATTGATACTCATGCTGTTGATCACAGGATCATCTGGTACAGACTCGATTATTTACAGATGTTGCTGAGAGCGGTGTTAAACAACACCCAAACAAAATGGTCATATAACAATTGTTTCCTACATTCAGGGATGAACTTGAACCAGCGTGAGTTACAACAGCATGTCCAGTTCGAGGCGGACTCATACTACGCAGCTTTCTCGGCTGAGGTTGAGATCGCAGCCTCTCTCATGTGGTCCCTCGTAGCTCACTGCAAAACACGGGTATGTCACTATGAATTTCAACCATATGTGTTATATTTGCCGTTATAATCCTTTAAAAGCATTCAGTGATTGGGGTAGCCTAGTGGTTAAAGCGTTGGCTCGTCACGCCGAAGACCCGGGTTCGAATCCCCACATGGGTACAATGAGTGAAGCCCATTTTTGGTGTTCCCCGCCGTGATATTGCTGGAATATTGCTAAAAGCGGCGTAAAACAAACTCAGTCAGTCAGTTATATTTGCCGTTATAATCCTTTAAAAGCATTCACGACTTTGTTGATGATATATATCTGTTGTGAATGTTTTCACTCTAGAAAATATGGTCAGCTCTCAGTGTCAGCATGTATGACATGGTGTAAGATACTCCCTTCATACACATGTGTATTTCCTGTGAGTAACAAACACAGGACAATATGGACTCAAGTAAACTTTGAGGCTTAGTACAGGGTGCCAATGAAAGTTACTTGCAGATAGGGCTAACAGTTGGATAGAGTGTTCTTAATAGGGCAAATACGGTATGCTGAGTTAAGGAAACAGATGTATAGAGGGAAGCATTCATGTAGTCTGTCATACAGACCCTGAAACACATATATATCCGAGAAAGTGCGTGTAAGTCAAGAATATGTGGTAAGTCTAGATTTCTGAAAATGAAGAAAGTCCCAGGGCTCCTTTTCATTATATTTTGTTTCATTCATTATGAACTATTTTTTCTGTAAAATATGTTCATGTCAGAGGCTAGTCGGTTGTCTAGCATTTATGCCACTTTGCATTTAGTATTGTACAAGTAACCCAGATTAAGAGGGCATTGGTATTCAATTACACACCTGGTGATTGGGGTAACCTAATGGTTAAAGCGTTGGTCGTCAGCGAAGACCGAGTTGAATCCCCACATGGGCACAATTGAAGCCCATTTCTGGTGTCCCCACTTCCATGATGTTGCTGGAATATTGCTAAAAGCAGCGTAAAACCAAACTCAATCAGTCAGTCAATTACAGCAGACCCTAACACTGTTAGTGTACTGACTGTATTGCATTAATATTTAACAGTAATGTTGAACACAACATCAAACCATTTTAGGGCCAGGGTTCTAGATTTTGAAGCTCTCTTTAGCTAAGATAATGTCGTAAGGTGAAGCGTACATTAACATTAACTTACCACTATCTTAGGCTTAAGAACTATCTAGGCCCAGAATATTCCATTAGTAGTATTTGTTATTTCTTTGTTGACTGCTGTGCACATTTTGATGGTATTACTTTGTTTTGTGTTTAACACAAAGAGGTGTCATTGTGTCATTTATTGTGTTGCAGAGTACTGCCTCCTTCTCACTCAGAATGATCGCAGCGGCTCAAGTGGCGCTCCAGGACTGGTTCCTGGCAATCAACTGCCATGAGAATATGAAGGTATTCACCCTTGGCTGGTTCTGTTGATGATATATTTGTGTCAAACTGCCATGAGAATATGAAGGTATTCACCCTTGGCTGGTTCTGTTGATGATATATTTGTGTCAAACTGCCATGAGAAAATGAAGGTATTCACCCTTGGCTGGTTCTGTTGATGATATATTTGTGTCAGACTGCCATGAGAATATGAAGGTATTCACCCTTGGCTGGTTCAATCAAACTGCCATGAGAATATGAAGGTATTCACCCTTGGCTGGTTCTGTTGATGATATATTTGTGTCAGACTGCCATGAGAATATGAAGGTATTCACCCTTGGCTGGTTCTGTTGATGACATATTTGTGTCAAACTGCCATGAGAATATGAAGGTAATTCACCCTTGGCTGGTTCTGTTGATGATATACTTGTGTCAAACTGCCATGAGAATACATGTATATACTGGCTTGGGTATTTCTATTACTATTATTCCAAGGGGGCTAAGGTCCCTGGCACCTTAGAAAGCTATGCAGGACCATCTCAACAGGATATGTTCCAGATTTCTGAAAGTGACCTATTGTTAAATCTCAGTACCTAGCTAGTCTCTGAATTTCCATCAAGTTTCATAAGTTTATTATTTCATTCCAACTTTCAGCCCAACCCATATCACCTGACATTCCACCTACCTCTCCATCGGTACCTGGCAGTGTTCATGATGCAGGCTGTTCTCCATCAGGGTGTGGTCCTCACTGATATCCTGCCAGAAGATGCCCTCATCAAGAAAATAGTCACCCATGTCCTACAGATTCAGGTCAGTGAATTCCTACAAGTTTAGATCAGTACGCACATTCAGGTCGGTACACTTGACAAATTAAACCTTAGGGATTCCAGAACAGAGTAAGCTCCCTTTTGTGGACGTCACACTGTGGATAGGGGGCGGTGGGGTAGCCTGATGGTTAAAGCGTTCGCTCGTCACGCCGAAGACCCGGGTTCGATTCCCCACATGGGTACAATGTGTGAAGCTCATTTCTGGTGTCCCCTGCCGTGATATTGCTGGAATATTGCTAAAAGCGGCGTAAAACCAAACTCACTCACTTACTCACACTGTGGATCGGCATACATTATTGACTTTCTGCATGGATTAAGGGAGGTAATTCAACAGGGTTTTTTGTGAACGGAGAGTGTATGTCATTTGTTTTGATACAAGTAATATGTTTAGATAATGTCAGTAGCTGCTGTATAGGCTATAATTGTGAACATCTTTTTGCAGTTTCTATGTATTCAAAGACATGTGGAATCATATTGTATCACAATTATATACGAAAAGAAACTAATTACAGTGGACTCTGTATAATCCGACACTCACTCGGACCGGGAAAAAATGTCAAAATTCACAGATTGTCGGATAATTCAGATGTCGGATTATACAGAGTCCATTGTATGTGGTTTAGATCTTGTATACCAACATATGAAATCTGGCCATCTATGTCTGTTGAGGACATTCCTCAGTGTCGTATATTTAATCTCCAGATATTTGAGTCTGGTCAGTTTCTCAGGGATTTGTAGATTTGAATGAGCACAGTGTCCATCTTTGTCCTGTATTACCACAGGGGCAGTGGGGTAACCTACTGGTTAAAGCGTTTGTTTGTTCATCACGCTGAATACCCAGGTGCTGGAATATCGCTAAAAGCGGCATAAAACCATACTCACTCACTCACTGACTGTATTACAGGTGTGCCTGGCTCAGATATTCGCCAACATGTGGGTACGGAATGGAATACAGATCAAAGGTCAGGCAATGACTTACATCCAGTGTCACTTCTGCTACTCCATGGCAGATGCAGACATCTACCTCCTACAGGTCAGTATTCAGTTCTCCGGTCAGAGGTCATCAGACTTATAGGGAAGAATTTCTCAAGGTAAATTGAAATAAAAGGGGAGATAACTGTCTTTAGTGGTCATTCTCATGAATCGGGATCCTTGTGAAATAAAACTCTACAAGTACATTTGTTTAATATATCTCATGTGTATATATGTATTGTTTTCCATTCATAATTATTTCTGAAATTGATGGATTTCATTACATCACCTATCTGATCCATGCTATTGCAACATACAAAAATATGTTTTGTCCCCCGAAGCCCTGCTAACTTTCAGTGTATTTTGGAAGAAACCTTCTCATCCCTGCTTTGTGTTCCTTACAGGTTTGTGCTTCACAGTTGGATCCAGACTATTTTGTGAATACTGTGCTGCAAAGGTAAGTATTCTTATATAATTGTTGCCATGAAGTATAAGTTCATTATCACAACTAATTTCTTTTTTCTCTCGCTGTAATGGCATGGCGTTTACGCTTTGTTGGTTGGCTTGCCATGTTGACAGACAACGTTTCTGATCAGAAAAGAATTCATCAGCGTAATTATAGTGACCCACCAATTGACACGCCTCAAGATTAACTCAGTGTCACCTTGCTAATTAAGGGCAGTTAATCCTCTCACCCTTCAAAGAATGCCGGCTTGTAACCCTTGTTTCATGTTAGGGCACGCAAGGCCACTCGGTAAAATGCGCGTGTAAACATACTGACAGGTGCTCAGCCATCCGGATATACGAGTGAAAAATGCATATGATTTAGCATTTGGTATGTGAAAATGACCGTCCGTTTACGGAAACCGGATTTCCGGGTAAGTGAGTAGTTTTACAACGTTGTGAATTCGTTTTAATGAATTTTTGTTCGGAAGGCGAGTTTTCCGGATATCTGAGGTTCGGATAAACGGGGCACGACTGTAGTAATAATGCTAATATTGATACAATGTATCAATGTTGATATTAATCTTACTAATATTAGTTGTTAGGGGACCTGTGTCACAATTATGATTTTTTTTGCAAGCATTTGCAAACAGGCACCTGTTCTTTTATTCAGCAAGATGTATGAAACTTGGTACGTCAAGAATCAGTGTAAGGTTTTGGCAGACTTGACCCTAGCTGCCTCCTGCCTGTCATATGAACCTGTAGCTGATATATTCCTTGCAACATTTGTATGTACTTGCACAGGTTCAACATCCTAGACTGGCTGTCTTTCTCCCCCGATTCCAATCCTCGAGATGAAGTCAATCGATCAGAACATGAAATGGCCATGGTAGAAGGTGCCCTGTCACTATTTGCCACACTGCTTGGGGTCCGCACATATCTAGGTAAGCTGGGTTACATTCAAGAAAACTGGTGTCCAGAAATTCGGGGTTTTTCTCTCCATTTTTTTATTTTTAAATGATCTCTGCACATACAGTCCAAGGGGTTAAGAAATTCAAAAGAAGACTGGTGTTAATTTTGACATAATTTTTGTGGAAAACATCCCTTGTAAATGTACTGTACAGGCATAGAAGAGTGGGTAATGGTGTTTCTGCTGTGTGTGAGTGACACTGTGATGACTGTTATGTATCTATATGTCCAGGTGTAGGGAGAAGGACTTAGTGAGACTAGAGATGGCATCGCTGCTGTGTATGAGTGACAGACAACACAGTCAACTGATGGATTTGATGCCGGAGAAATCTGGAGTGCCAGGTCATGGCAAGGAACTGTTTGAGCCAACTCTCAAAAAGGTCAGTGACAGTTGTTTCTTTTCTGTTATGATACCTCCTGTAGAGAAGCAGTAACCATTTCTTAGAGGCCACCATGGTTTGAATCCCATCACAGGAATAAAACAGTTATGTCCGCAACATTGATGTAGCAGCAGCATGTTTCCTGGGTGAGTGTTTATGGACTGACTGGAAATGAAATATTGGCCTTTCATTTTATCATTAGCCAATCAGAAATCTGCTCTCAAAATAAACAAGTTTAAGGTATCTTGAACTGCCCGTTTCGCCAAGCTGGCAAAAGAACACGCTGTTACAAAAGATAATGCAAACACAGTAAGCCAACAATTTATATTGGTTTTCATTATGCCATATAGTTATGGTTTGGCATAGAGGGTACACTTATGGTCGGTCATATCCGGTACTTGACTTATTGGTGTATGTTATCCAGATCGCTGACTACAAAGCCCCAGTGTTTGCCATGGGAGGGAAGATGCAGCAGGGTACATATGTACCTAAAGGTAAGCTCCATGCCTTGGGTTATGTTGGTAAAGATGCTCCATGCCCTATGTGTCCCAATGCTCCATGTTCTATGTGTCTAAATGCTCCATGTTCTCTATATGCATCCCCATGCCCCATGCCCTATATGTGTCCAAATGCCCAATGCCCTATATGTGTGTCTAAAAGCTACATGCCCTATATGCATACAAATGCTCCATGCCCTATATGTGTCTAACTGCTAAATGCTCCATGCCCTATATGGTCCCCAACATGTTCCATGCCCTATGTATGTCTTAATGCTCCATGCCCTATATGTTGCCCTAAATGCCCTGCTCCATGCCCTATATGTCTCTAAATGCTCCATGCCCTATATGTGTCTAAATGCTCCATGCCCTATGTGTGTCTACATGCTCCATGCCCTATGTTTCCAAATGCTCCATGCCCTAAATGTGTCTAAATGCTCCATGCCCTAAATGTGTCTTAATGCTCCATGCTTATGCTCCATGCCCTATATGTGTCTAAATGTGTATGTGTCTAAATGCTCCATGCCTATATGTGTCCGCTCCATGGACATGTTCTATGCCTAAATGTGTCCAAATGCTCCATGCCTTATATATGTGTTGTCAAGTGTTCTATGCCTAAAACTTGTGTATAGATTTTCCATGTCCAGTAAGCATGTATACATGCTCCATGCCCAATATATACTTATAGACGCCCTTCATATATGTGCTTATATTCAGCGGAGGTGTGGGAGAAGGATTACGACCCAGTCCACGTCGCTCTGCGTGCCATCTATAGGAAAGATCTGCAGTCATCTCTGGACAGATACACAGAACAGTGAGTTGACCAGAACCTCATCAGGGAATCACGCTGTAGAGATGAAACATTGGGTTCATGTCAATAATCAGAGCAGCGATGATCCCAGTTGCTTATTAACCTTGCATCCTGGGGAATCTGGGTCTTTATTAGGGATGCAATGAATCCTCTCTGAGGCGAATATGAAACATATCACAGATGTTGAGTACCAACAAGAAGATCAGGGTTAGAACTGTTCTTAAGCAACCCATGCTTGTCATAAGACGCGACTGATGGGATCGGGTGGTCAGACTCACTTGATACATATTATCATATCCCAATTGCATAGGACCGCCGCCATATAGCTGGAAAAAACTAAACTTTCTCTCTCACCCAATTTGCAAGGGTCGATGCTCATGCTGTTGATCACAGGATTGTCTGGTCCAAACTGAGTTATTTATAGACCGTCGCCATATAGCTGGAATATTGCTGAGTGCTGCGTTAAACAACAAACAAATGCTAAAAATAGTAAGATGAGGATAAGAAGACCTTTTCATGGTATTTGTCCATTATTCAGAACTGATGAGGTTTTAGTCCAAAGTCCATAAAGTATTTTAAAATGAGTCAATGTCAGCATCATCACAATGTTGGTACTGTTTCAGAGTTCGACAGAGTGGGAAGTACACCAGCAAGACCCCGCCATGGCCCCCATTCCGCAGCCCCAGCCCCGTGAACCAGCAGTACAAGGGGTTGTACAGGATCCTCAACTGTCGAACCATGCATGCCTTCCTCTTCACTGTCCTGCACAAGGTACTCACACCTCCCTTCACAGAGATCGATGCTCATGCTGTTGATCACTGGATTGTCTGATCACTGGATCGTCTGGTCACTGGATCTGATCACTGGATTGTCTGATCACTGGATCGTCTGGTCCAGATTATTTACAGACTGCCATATAGCTGGAATATTGTTGAGTGCCATAAACAAACATATTTGTAAGCCTTGTTGTACATGTATAGGGGCTCTTTTGATATATTGTGGATCTTTTAGTGATGGACCCTTGTCTCCACCAACTTTGAGAGTGTGGGTTTGGAAAGTACTAGAATTTGAAGTTTATTCTGAAAGTGTAATCCCAAATGTAACATTAGTTCACTGGTCAAGAAATAAACAAGTAGCCATGTAATAAAACAGCCAGGCCCTTGATTTCTGTTAGAGACAGAATAAGAAAGCAGTCAGAAAAGAGGAAAGGTGTATATTTTCAGTGTCCTCACCATGATATGGCTAGAATATTGTTAAAAGCTGTTTTAAACCTATTTTCTGACCCATTATTTGTGTGTGCAGGCCATGGCAAAGGATTCCAACGTTCCAGAGAGTGTTCTCTACTACTGTGTTCACCTGCTCGACCTGTGTGTCACCTACAGCCCTCCTCAGACATCACGTAAGGTAAGCACCTATGCTTATGCATATGATGATGCTGATATGATGATGATGGCAATGATGATATATTTGTACAGTGCTGTTGCCACATACTCAAAGCTTGTACAGATATTACACTGATCAACAATTTTGTGTTCAGTGAATTGTTTTCTCAACACTAGGAAGTGTACAATCTCATCAGCCTGTTGTGGGATGATGCTGATGCTGATGATATGATGATGCTTTGATTAAATATGATGGTGCTGATTGATGATATGATGATGCTTTGATGATATGATGATATGCGGTGGGTAGCCTGGATTATAATGGTTAAAGCGTCCGCTTTGATGCGATTGTTACCTCGACCGAAGACCTGGGTTCAATTCACCACAGGGGTACAATGTGTGAAGCCCACATCTGGTGTCCCCTGCCATGATATTGCTGGAATATTGCTAAAAGCGGTGATAAACTATACTAACTCACTCAGCCTGTTGTTGTTAGAAATGTAGGTCAGTCATTTGGTGTGAAAACACCTGTTTCACTAAGCTATTGCACCACTACGACTGTTGTATAAGTATGGGAGTAGTACTGTAACGTCTTTTTAAAACGTGGACCAGTACCTGATTATATACCTAGTAAGCCATATATGCCACACAATTTATTTGGATCACTTAAAAGACCCTTAATGGATATCCATCTGAATCTCCTGCAGGGCTGCAGCCCAGCCAGCACCGTCATGGACGGCAAGTACCACCGCTGGTTCTCCACATCTGACATCAAGCAGAACGCATGTGAGGTGATCAGTGAGGTGAGCTTCCAGACCCGACTGATGGCGGAGTCGGACAGCGGCGACATGTGCACCATCAGCATGGACAACGACACCAGCACTCTAGAGGAGATGTTCCAGCTGGCGCCAAGTGCAGCTTCATGTGAGTGGGTGGAGCTTCATGTGATTGGGTGGGGCTTAATGTGGATGGAGCTTCATGTGAGTGGGTGGAGCTTCATGTGATTGGGTGGGGCTTAATGTGGATGGAGCTTCATGTGAGTGGGTGGAGCTTCATGTGATTGGGTGGAGCTTCATGTGATTGGGTGGGGCTTAATGTGGATGGAGCTTCATGTGAGTGGGTGGAGCTTCATGTAAGTAGGTGGGGGCTTCATGTGAGTGGGTGGAGCTTCATGTAAGTGGGTGGATCTTCATGTGTGTGGGTGGAGCTTCATGTGAGTGGGTGGATCTTCATGTGAGTGGGTGGAGCTTCATGTAAGTAGGGTGGGGCTTAATGTGATTGGGTGGGGCTTAATGTGGGTGGATCTTCATGTGAGTGGGTGGATCTTCATGTGATTGGGTGGGGCTTAATGTGGGTGGATCTTCATGTGAGTGGGTGGAGCTTCATGTAAGGGTGGGGGCTTTATGGTGGGGAGCTTCAATGTGATTGGGTGGAGCTTAATGTGGGTGGAAGGAGCTTCATGTGATTGGGTGGAGCTTCATGTGATTGGGTGGATCTTCATGTGAGTGGGTGGTAGTGGTGTTCCAATTAAATGGGGCTTCATGATTGGTCGAAGACCAAAGTGACCAATGGGGTTTCACATTTGGGTGGGGCCTTTATAAGTGATTTTGGAACTTAATTTGTCTTTGGAAATCTTGATGAGTGGAACATATCTTGAAGTTGTCAGGGTGGGTGGATCTTCATGTGAGTGGTGGGGCTTAATGTGGGTGGATCTTCATGTGATTGGGTGGATCTTCATGTGATTGGGTGGATCTTCATGTGATTGGGTGGGTGGATGGATTCATGTGGATTGGGTGGATCTTCATGTGAGTGGTTGGATCTTCATGTGATTGGGTGGGGCTTAATGTGGGTGGAGCTTCATGTCAGTGGGTGGGGCTTCATGTGATTGGGTGGGGTTAATTTGGTTGGTTTGGGTTTCATGTGAGTGGGTAGGGCTTCATGTGATCGGGGTGGAATTTTTTGTCAGTGGGTGGAGCTTCATGTTATTGGATTGAGTGTCTTGTAAGTCAGTGGAGCTTCAAGTAAGTATTTTTAGCTAAATATATGTCAGATAGGACTGTAGGACTCACAAATTTAAAAAATGACTTGGATGAGGCTTCTGTGCATGCAAGTTCCCAACTGTATTGATGATTTTAGCTCATGTGTGTTTGATCAATAATGATCAAAAAGTAAAATTCTAAAGCCTACATCCCTTTCCTCCATAATTAAGCTGACATGCTGAGGATCCTACTGATCTGAGATGTTTAAATTAAATTAATGTCCACAGCTATGGGAGGTCCTATCACGGCAGCTCAGATCAACCTCCCCTCCATGATCTCAATTCCTGGACCTTCATCAGGGACGGCAGCATGCACCATCACCAAAGCAACAGGCACCAGCACAGCCCTCAAAGTAAAACCCAAGTACGAAAGCCGAGGTATGTCAACGGAACAAGTACACCTGTCCCGCGTCAGCGTCAATGAAAGTCTTCTGTCTCTGCTGCTGAAGCTGCACTGCAAACTGTCGGGGAAGTCAGGGTCGTATGTGCCGATGTCGGTAAAGAAGAGGGATCCCGTGAAGACCCTGATCGGGGACGGGCCAGTGTTTGTAGGGAAACTGTTGGATAGACTATGTGAGATGAGCACCGAGTGTGGTAGAATTGTACACGACACCTACAGAGCGCTGTGGCCTGATGAGACGGACAAGAAGACACAGGGACAAAACGTGGACAAAGAAACCAAGTGAGTGTTCAGTGTGACATCATTCTTTATCGTACCTCACAAAATGTCATTCACTGAATGACTGAGCACTCTTCTATTAGTTTCAATGTACCTCACTTGTAAGTGGGTTACATTTTCTTTGTTACCTGCTGGGAATGCAAAACTGTGGGAATCTATTTGGTACTTCGTAATTCGTAATTCTTTATCTCGATGAGACATGTATGATGTACGGAATTTACCGATGTTTTGTGAATGCAAATCGATGGAAGGGAGATAACTCAAAATTTGTTTTTCTTGTCGTCTGCTAGATTCTATGTCATCTTAAAATCTAGTATTAGCTAATTGCCTAACTCTGGTACTCATTATTATGATCCGATACCCGTGCTTCAAACAGTTCAAAATTAACATTGAGTTGTTCGGTAAGGTAAACACATTGTTCAGTGGTCCCTTGGGGCCCATGGGTTCATGTCCCTCTTCGGGCTCAGGGAATATAAACAAACATAGAGGGTCCATCAACCCATGTCCCCTCTCTTGACCAGTGAACAACTTGCCATTGTTGAAGTAGTGACAGGTCATATAGCACTCCAGGCAGGCACTGTGTTTTTGGAGGTTAAGTTGGGATTCACTTTGCAGAGTTACATACCTTTGATGTGTCAGAATGTAGGTTCAACTTAATGGATTGTGTGATCAGGTTCCGTTTCTTGGTTTATGGGTTGTTATCTCATCCGAGCTGCATAATGTAATTTTCTGACTAAAATTGATATTCTATACTTATTCTGACTCATGAGGTCAGCCCTCCCAACCTCCCCTCTCAGGGCACTCTGGATTTCCATGTAAATCCGGGTGTCGGGCGACAAAACGAGAGAGTGACAAACATAGCTGGTCATGTGACCAAAAAGGGTGCCAAAGGAGGCAAGGGAGACTACTCGTGGCTGAGTGATGATTTTACGTCCGCTTTTTAGAAGGGAACTTCAAGGGATTTCAAGTTTTCCACTATCATTTGCAAGAAGAAGGAGACAAGCATTTAGCATGAGTCAGGATAAGGAAAAATGATCATTTTCCATGATGAGAATCACTGGATTGTCTAGTTCAGAATCGATTAATTAAAGACTGTCATCATTTAGCAGGAATATTACTGAGTGATTCATGAGGTTGTTTTTTAAAAAGTGTTTTTACTTGAATTTGTGTGTTATTTATACAAGTAAGAAATACAAAATGGAATCCTAGCTGGGTTTTCAGCATGATGAGCAAATACTTTAACCACAAGAATACCCCAGTTCCATTTTGTGTGGATGGATAAGATCTGACAACGGTCTCGTTTTTTGTGTGGACGGATAAGATCTGACAACAGTCTCGTTTTGTGTGGATGGATAAGATCTGACAACAGTCCCATTTTGTGTGGACAGATAAGATCTGATAACAGTCTCCTTTTGTGTGGATGGATAAGATCTGACAACGGTCTTGTTTTTGTGTGGACAGATAAGATCTGATAACAGTCTCCTTTTGTGTGGATGGATAAGATCTGACAACGGTCTTGTTTCTGTGTGGACAGGTAAGATCTGATAACAGTCTCCTTTTGTGTGGATGGAAAAGATCTGGCAACGGTCTCGTTTTTGTGTGGACAGATAAGATCTGATAACAGTCTCCTTTTGTATGGATGGATAAGATCTGACAACGGTCCCATTTTGTGTGGACGGATAAGATCTGACAACAGTTTGTGTGGATGGAATAAGATCTGACAACAGTTTGTGTGGACGGATAAGATCTGTCAAAAGTCCCGTTTTGTGTGGATGGATAAGATCTGACAACAGTCCCATTTTGTGTGGACGGATAAGATCTGACAACAGTCCCATTTTGTGTGGAGGGATAAGATCTGACAACAGTCCCATTTTGTGTGGACGGATAAGATCTGACATTGATGTTTGCTTTTCAGACGTAAAAAAGCCTGGCAGAGACAACAGAAATTGATGGCAGAGTTTGCCTCTAAACAGAAGGCCTTCATCGAACAGACAATGGAGGACGATGTAGACGGTAAGAAATGTAGATGAAGAATTTCTGGTGGAATAGAGTGAAGAATGAATCTGAAAATGTGAATTTCTGGAAAGGTTGATAATACGGAAAGTAACGTGCTGTAGATCATTGCTCTTGTTGTCAGCTGCAAATTTACCTTTCCCAGACTAAATCATTGGCAGGCCATCAATTTAAACACAGAATACAAAGGGCTGTAACAAAATGTGCTCACTTATTCAGGGTTTTAAGTGACCCGCAAATGTGCGTTCAGTACGCACAAATGAAGAAAATGGAATTCACTGCATCCAGAGGGATGCACAATATTATTGCTTGTACCCACAATACATGTATGACTCTGCTAAGTGCTTGGTTGTTTCTTGCAGAGCAGTTACATGCACCATTTCATCCACCAGTCCATATGATCAATGATCCATTCCATACTCTGAAGAAATTATCAAATCATACAGTTCTCTTCACCGTTACTTCACAGGATCCTCGTATTGCCTACAAAGAACCTAAAACTAATAATTAAGGGTCCCCGGGACCGCCATGTTTGTGGGTAAAACCCTGCTTATTGTTTGCCTTTGCAGTGCTGTTGCTCATGCTACATGTTGCTGTTTTCTCACAGATGATGAACCAGAAGACGATGGAGATGTGATGAAACCAAAAGAGACGACGTATGACTGTGTGATTTGTGGTCAGTTGACACCGTCAACGGGAGACAGACCCATAGGGCTGGTAGTGTTCCTTCAAGCTTCTAGTGGTAAGTGTAGGGTGACGCTTTATATGACAGACCCATTGGGCTGGTAGTGTAGGGCTGGGTGTGTCTTTATATGACAGACCCAAAGGGCTGGTAGTGTTGGGCTGGGTGATCCTTTATGCGACAGACCCATAGGGCTGGTAGTGTAGGGCTGGGTGACCCTTTATATGACAGACCCATAGGGCTGGTCATGTTGGGCTGGGTGATCCTTTATGTGACAGACCCATAGGGCTGGTAGTGTAGGGCTGGGTGACCCTTTATATGACAGACCCATAGGGCTGGTCGTGTTGGGCTGGGTGATCCTTTATATGACAGACCCATTGGGCTGGTCGTGTTGGGCTGGGTGATCCTTTATATGACAGACCCATAGGGCTGGTAGTGTTCCTTCAAGCTTCTAGTGGTAAGTGTAGGGTGATCCTTTATATGACAGACCCATTGGGCTGGTCGTGTTGGGCTGGGTGATCCTTTATATGACAGACCCATAGGGCTGGTAGTGTAGGGCTGGGTGACCCTTTATATGACAGACCCATAGGGCTGGTAGCATTCCTTCAAGCTTCTAGTTATCAGTGTAGGGTGACCCTTTACATGACAGACCCATTGGGCTGGTAGTTTTGGGCTGGGTGATCCTTCATATGACAGACCCAAAGGGCTGGTCGTGTTGGGCTGGGTGATCCTTTATATGACAGACCCATTGGGCTGGTCGTGTTGGGCTGGGTGATCCTTTATATGACAGACCCATAGGGCTGGTAGTGAAGGGCTGGGTGACCCTTTATATGACAGACCCATAGGGCTGGTAGCATTCCTTCAAGCTTCTAGTTATAAGTGTAGGGTGACCCTTTATATGACAGACCCAAAGGGCTGGTAGTGTTGGGCTGGGTGACCCTTTATATCACAGACCCAAAGGGCTGGTCGTATTGGGCTGGGTGTGTCTTTATATGACAGACCCAAAGGGCTGGTCGTATTGGGCTGGGTGTGTCTTTATATGACAGACCCAAAGGGCTGGTAGTGTTGGGCTGGGTGACCATTTATATGACAGACCCAAAGGGCTGGTCGTGTTGGGCTGGGTGTGTCTTTATATGACAGACCCAAAGGGCTGGTAGTGTTCCTTCATGCTTCTAGTGGTAAGCGTAGGGTGACCCTTTATATGACAGACCCATTGGGCTGGTAGTGTAGGGCTGGGTATCCCATTATATGACAGACCCATAGGGCTAGGTGACCTTTTCTACAGAAGAGACCCCTAGGGCTGGTAGTTGTTCCCAGTTTGTGTCTGTTGAATGTGAGGATAAAGCCATAAATAATTCACATCTCAAACATATAACACTTTAGTGAAACCAACAAGCAGAGGTAGGGTGCCTTAAAAAGAACTATTCGAACCCTTAGGTTTCTGGAGTTCCAAGGGACCTACCACAGTGAATTGCATCACCTGGGCAACCTGTGCCCCTCCCCCTGAAGTATGCAAATCATAGTGCTGAGAAGTCATACAGACATTTGAACATGCACATCAGTGTCTTTTAATGGCTGACAGTAGAGGAAACTATGGAACACTGTACATGTTATGTTATGACCTGTATTACTAATGGCTGACAGTAGAGGAAACTATGGAACACTGTACATGTTATGTTTTGACCTGTATTACTAATGGCTGACAGTAGAGGAAACTATGGAACACTGTACATATTATGTTACGACCTGTGTTACTAATGGCTGACAGTAGAGGAAACTATGGAACACTGTATATATTATGTTACGACCTGTATTACTAATGGCTGACAGTAGAAGAAACTATGGAACACTGTACATGTTATGTTACGACCTGTATTACTAATGGCTGACAGTAGAGGAAACTATGGAACACTGTACATATTATGTTACGACCTGTATTACTAATGGCTGACAGTAGAGGAAACTATGGAACACTGTACATATTATGTTACGACCTGTGTTACTAATGGCTGACAGTAGAGGAAACTATGGAACACTGTATATATTATGTTACGACCTGTATTACTAATGGCTGACAGTAGAAGAAACTATGGAACACTGTACATATTATGTTACGACCTGTATTACTAATGGCTGACAGTAGAGGAAACTATGGAACACTGTACATATTATGTTACGACCTGTATTACTAATGGCTGACAGTAGAGGAAACTATGGAACACTGTACATATTATGTTACGACCTGTATTACTAATGGCTGACAGTAGAGGAAATTATGGAACACTGTACATATTATGTTACGACCTGTATTACTAATGGCTGACAGTAGAGGAAACTATGGAACACTGTACATATTATGTTACGACCTGTATTACTAATGGCTGACAGTGGAGGAAACTATGGAACACTGTATATATTATGTTACGACATGTATTACTAATGGCTGACAGTAGAGGAAACTATGGAACACTGTACATATTATGTTACGACATGTATTACTAATGGCTGACAGTAGAGGAAACTATGGAACACTGTATATATTATGTTACGACCTGTATTACTAATGGCTGACAGTAGAGGAAACTATGGAACACTGTACATGTTATGTTACGACCTGTATTACTAATGGCTGACAGTAGAGGAAACTATGGAACACTGTACATATTATGTTACGACCTGTATTACTAATGGCTGACAGTAGAAGAAACTATGGAACACTGTACATGTTATGTTACTTAATCTGTATTACTAATGGCTGACAGTAGAGGAAACTATGGAACACTGTACATGTTATGTTACGACATGTGTATTACTAATGGCTGACAGTAGAGGAAACTATGGAACACTGTACATGTTATGTTACTTAATTCTGTATTACTAATGGCTGACACTAGAGGAAATTATGGAACACTGTACATATTATGTTACGACCTGTATTACTAATGGCTGACAGTAGAAGAAACTATGGAACACTGTACATGTTATGTTACGACCTGTATTACTAATGGCTGACAGTAGAGGAAACTATGGAACACTGTACATGTTATGTTACGACCTGTATTACTAATGGCTGACAGTAGAGGAAACTATGGAACACTGTACATGTTATGTTACTTAATTCTGTATTACTAATGGCTGACAGTAGAGGAAACTATGGAACACTGTACATATTATGTTACGACCTGTATTACTAATGGCTGACAGTAGAAGAAACTATGGAACACTGTACATGTTATGTTACGACCTGTATTACTAATGGCTGACAGTAGAGGAAACTATGGAACACTGTACATGTTATGTTACTACATGACATGTATTACTAATGGCTGACAGTAGAGGAAACTATGGAACACTGTACATGTTATGTTGACCTGTATGTATTACTAATGGCTGACACTAGAGGAAATTATGGAACACTGTACATATTATGTTACTTACCTTGTATTACTAATGGCTGACAGTAGAAGAAACTATGGAACACTGTACATGTTATGTTACGCATTTAATCTGTATTACTAATGGCTGACAGTAGAGGAAACTATGGAACACTGTACATGTTATGTTACGACCTGTATTACTAATGGCTGACAGTAGAGGAACTATGGAACACTGTACATATTATGTTCGTTACCTGTATATACTAATGGCTGACAGTAGAGGAAACTATGGAACACTGTACATATTATGTTACATAATCTGTATTACTAATGGCTGACAGTAGAGGAAAACTATGGAACACTGTACATATTATGTTACGACACGTATTACTAATGGCTGACAGTAGAGGAAACTATGGAACACTGTACATGTTATGTTACTTAACCTGTATTACTAATGGCTGACAGTAGAGGAAACTATGGAACACTGTACATATTATGTTACCATAATGTATATTACTAATGGCTGACAGTAGAGGAAACTATGGAACACTGTACATGTTATGTTACGACATGTATTACTAATGGCTGACAGTAGAGGAAACTATGGAACACTGTACATATTATGTTACGACCTGTATTACTAATGGCTGACAGTAGAGGAAACTATGGAACACTGTACATATTATGTTACGACCTGTGTTAGTAATGGCTGACAGTAGAGGAAACTATGGAACACTGTACATATTATGTTACGACCTGTATTACTAATCAGTGACATACATTAACACCTCTTCTGGTGTTTGTTGCAGTGTTGGGCCACAGGAAGCAGGTGGACCACCCTCAAGTACTGTCAGTGGATGCTTCGTACAACCCTCACTTCTCCACCTGCTCTGACTTCCAGAAGAAGCGTCTTGAGACACTCATGAAGTACTTTGAGGAGGTAAGTTGTGCTGTACATAAATGGCAGCTTAATGGATTGGGATTAAGGCTGAGTGACTTGGATGGTTGCATATCATTCTACCCCTATATCATCATATAGTTGGAATATTGTTGACGTGACCATGATGATGATAATCATGATTGTATAGAGGTGATAATGATGATGATGATAGTGTTTTGATGATGAAGTATTGGTGATGACAACAATGATGATGATGATGATGTGGTTGTGATGATGATGAAGATGATAGAGTAGTTATGATGATGTAGCTATGATGATGATGAAGATGATGATGATCTAGTGGTGATGATGGTGGGGTTGTTACGATGATGTGGTTGTGATGATGATGATATAGTGGTGATGATGGTGGGATTGTTACGATGATGTTGTGATGATGATGATCTGGTGGTGATGATGGTGGGGTTGTTACGATGATGTTGTTGTGATGATGATGATATAGTGGTGATGATGGTGGGGTTGTTGCGATGATGTTATGATGATGATGATGAACTGGTGATGATGGTGGGGTTGTTACGATGATGTGGTTGTGATGATGATCTAGTGGTGATGATGGTGGGGTTGTTACGATGATGTGGTTGTGATGATGATCTAGTGGTGATGATGGTGGGGTTGTTACGATGATGATCTAGTGGTGATGAGGTGGGTTTTTTACGATGATGTGGTTGTGATGATGATCTAGTGGTGATGATGGTGGGGTTGTTACGATGATGATCTAGTGGTGATGATGGTGGGGTTGTTACGATGATGTGGTTGTGATGATGATATGATGGTGGGTGATGATGATGGGTTGTTGATGATGATGATGGTTGTGATGATGATCTAGTGGTGATGATGGTGGGTTGTTGATGATCGACGATGATGATGATCTAGTGGTGATGAGGTGGGTTGTTACGATGATGTGGTTGTGATGATGATCATAGTTGTGATAATGGTGGGTTGTTGATCTAGTGATGATGGGGGGTTGTGATGATGATCTAGTTGTGATGATGGTGGGGTTGTTACGATGATGATGATGATGGTGATGATGATTTGTGGGTTGATGATGTGCGGTGATGATGATGGTTGTTACGATGATGATGGTGGTTGTGTGATGATGATCTGATGTGATATAGTGATGATGGTGGGTTGTTACGATGATGTGGTTGTGTTGATGACAAAGTGGTAATGATGATGTGGTTGTGATGATGATGATATAGTGATGATGGTGGGTTGTTACGATGATGGTTGTGATGATGATGGCGAAGGATGATGATGATATAGTGGTGATGATGGTGGGCAGATGTTATGATGATGATGTGGTTGTGATGATGATGGTGATGATGATGATATACCGGTGATGATGGTGGGGTTGTTACGATGATGATGTTGTTGTGATGATGATGGTGATGATGATGATAGCGGCGTGATGATGGTGCTGTTGTTGCGATGATGTTATGATGATGATGATGAACCGGTGATGATGGTGGGTTGTTACGATGATGGTTGTGATGATGATCCAGTGGTGATGATGGTGGGTTGTTCACATGATGATGGTTGTGATGATGATGTGGCGGTGATGATGGTGGGGTTGTTTCACGATGATGATCCAGTGGTGATGAGGTGGGTTTTACGGATGATGTATTGTGATGATGATCTAGTGGTGATGATGGTGGGGTTGTTACGATGATGATCTAGTGGTGATGATGGTGGGGTTGTTACGATGATGTGGTTGTGATGATGATGATATAGTGGTGATGATGGTGGGATTGTTACGATGATGTTGTGATGATGATGATCTGGTGGTGATGATGGTGGGGTTGTTACGATGATGTGGTTGTGATGATGATGATATAGTGGTGATGATGGTGGATTGTTGACGATGATGTTGTGATGATGATGATCCGGTGGCGATGATGGTGGGCTGTTACGATGATGTTGCTGTGATGATGATGATATAGTGGTGATGATGGTGGGCTGTTGCGATGATGTTATGACGATGATGATGAACCGGTGATGATGGTATTGTTTAATGATGATGGTTGTGATGATGATCCAGTGGTGATGATGGTACTGTTACCGATGATGTGGTTGTGATGATGATCTAGTGGTGATGATGGTGGGGTTGTTACGATGATGATCCAGTGGCGATGAGGTATTGTTTTCACGATGATGGCTCAGTGATGACCGATCATAGTTGCGGATAATGGTGGGTTGTTAACTGATGATGGCTTCGTGATGACGATCCAGCCGTGACTGATGGTGGGGCTTGTTACCGATGATGATCTTATGGTGATGAGGTAGCCGTTACGATGATGATTGTCAGATGACGATCCAGTGGCGATGATGGTATTGTTACCGGATGACGGTTGCGATGACGACAGCTGGCAATGATGATGGTCATGATGATGACGTTTTGGCAATGATGATGGCTTCACGATGATGATGATAGCGGTGATGATGAAGTATTGTCACGATGATGTGGATGATGGTGGGAGTTATTTACGATGATGGTTGTGGATGATGATCTAGTGGTGATGATTTGCGGGTTGTTACGATGATGTGGGTTGTGATGATGATCTAGTGGTGATGATGGTGGGGTTATTACGATGATGATCTAGTGGGATGATGAGGTAGTATGGCCGAAGATTGTTGGGATGATTGATCTAGTGATGATGATGGTATTGTTAATGATGATGATCTAGTGGTGATGATGGTGGGTTGTTGCCACGACGATGTTATGGTTTATACTAATTACGAACTGCGTAGATAATAGAGGGTTGTCACGATGATTTGGTTGTGACGATTTACTTGATCACAATAGTGATGATGGTGGGCTGTTATACGATGTGGCCGCATTTATGATTTATCCATACAGCGGTGATGATAAGTGGGTTGTCGCTTATTGATGTTGTGATGGATGATGAATGATCTAGTGGTGATGAGGTGGGGTTGATACGATGATGTGGTTGTGATGATGATGATGATGTATTGTGATAATGGGTAATGGGTTGTTACGATGATGTGGTTGTGATGATGATCTAGTTGTGATGATGGTGGGGTTGTTACGATGATGATCTAGTGGTGATGAGGTGGGGTTGTTACGATGATGTGGTTGTGATGATGATCTAGTGGTGATGATGGTGGGGTTGTTACGATGATGTGGTTGTGATGATGACAAAGTGGTAATGATGATGTGGTTGTGATGATGACAAAGTGGTAATGATGATGTGGTTGTGATGATGATGATATAGTGGTGATGATGGTGGGTTGTTACGATGATGTGGTTGTGATGATGATGGTGATGATGATGATATAGTGGTGATGATGGTGGGTTGTTACGATGATGTGGTTGTGATGATGATGGTGATGATGATGATATAGTGGTGATGATGGTGGGGTTGTTACGATGATGGTGTTGTGATGATGATGGTGATGATGATGATGGTGATGATGATGATGGGATTGTTATGATGATGATGGGGATGTTTTGACGATGAAGTGGTTATGACTATGTGTTTCAGAGGTCATGTCAGATGTCGGTGAACATTGGCTGGGAGGGAGGTGTGTGTGTACAGACATGTGGCCACTACCTCCACCTTGATTGCCACAGCTCCTACATGCAGTCTCTCCATGTACGTACACAACACTCTCCAGATGTAATCACTTCATATATGTGGGTTCGATAAAAGGCAAAACACATTTTGATACTTACATACGCTCTCAATCAAACTGACTGACTGACTGACTGAGTTTGGTTTTACGCCGCTTTTAGCAATATTCCAGCAATATCACGGCGGGGGACACCAGAAATGGGCTTCACTCATTGTACCCATGTGGGGATACGAACCTGGGTCTTTGGCGTGACGAGCCAACGCTTTAACCACTAGGCTACCCCACCGCCCCTCTCAATCAAAATCATGTAATGCATAACAATATTATTCTATATTTTGACAAGTGGACTTCAGCAACATGTGCTCACTGAGTGACACATTGTGTATCCCTCTGCCATCTGTTCAAGTATGACTTCTTCTCCGATGAACCTGAAACTTGAGTTGGGCATGGTGGCACATTTGAGCCATGACAATTCCTACTGAAGGAACGTGTGCTCACAGAGTGACACAATCTCCACTGTGTATCCTCTTGTTATCTGTCTGGTAACGTTTGACTTCTTCTCCGAACCATTTGCAGAAATGAACCTGAAAAAGGTTTGAAACATGGTAGCCCATTCATCTGAGACATGACAATTTAGAGTTACCTCCCTTAAGAATGCCAGACACCTACAATGTTGGTTTTGATTCAACAACTGATATAATATTAAAAGCAGAGTTAAATCACACTACGTTCATGTTTTTCGGTAGTCTCAAAGCATGAGCCGTCCCGAGCCACTAGCGGTCAGCAAGGGGGAGTACTGGTGCCCCTTATGTCGCCAGCTGTCCAACTCTGTTGTACCCATTGTACCCGACGAAAACCAGCTAGCGTTGGTCAAACCTGTGTCACGTGATCCAGAGGTCATGGTCAGAGACTTGGCAGACATGATGGTTACAAGGCCCATAACTCCGGTAAGTCATTTTAGGTATTACTTCCATCTTTTTAACATTCCATAACATTGCACGATTGAAGGATAACATAAATAGCTTCAAGCTAGTTTATATTCAGGCTGATTGATGTAGTTGGGATGTTGTGGACAAAACAAACATCAGTGTCATTTTCAGTGAAAACCACAATCATCCCAATACCCAGGTGCAGCCAAGCGTTCAGTTGTATGTGTTGTTTCAGGGATCAGCCAACTTGACGCGGGTGATGGGCAATGTGATGGAGGACCTGACTAATGCCACACATTCAGTATTCAAGGTCTTCTCACACTCACAGACGTCAGAGAGTGTCCTGCTATTTGTCTGCTCTGTCGCCAGGTAAGTCGGAAGAATTTAATGTGCTCTGTCACCAGGTTGTTGGGGAGGGTTTAGTATGTTGTGCCACCAGCTGTGTGGAAGGGTTTAGTATGTTGTGCCACCAGCTGTGTGGAAGGGTTTAGTTTGTTTTGTCAGCAGGTCAGCAGGTAAGATTTAGTCTGAAGTGTCAGCAGGTCAGTGATGACGTCCATGTAGAATTCTAACCAGCCATGTTTTACATTTTGACTCCTCTTGTTTTCAGAACCAATTTGGAAATTGAGCTTCTTCAACGAGGCGGGTCCTTGGAAAATCAGCAGGGCAAGGGGTACACCAAAAAGAACTGTTTCTGTGAGTATCTACTCGCGATGTAGCAGTATATTCCTTGTCAGTAGAGAATACATGACTGACTTGGTTTATTGTGTGTTGTCTTTCCCCAGCGACTTCATTACATGTTTTGGTTTTCAGCAATCCATGCTGGTAATAAGAGCCAGCTAATGGGATCGCATGGCAAAGCTGGCTGACTTGGTTGAAACATGTCATCGTAACACAATTGCGTTGATTGATGCTCATGCTGTTGATCACTGGATTGTCTGTTCCAGACTCATTTATTTACAGACCGCCGCCATATAGCTGGAGTATTGCTGAGTGCTTCGTAAAACTAAACTCACTCACTCACTCTGTAAATAAGGTGAAGTTAAACAACGAACAAACAAACAAACTTTATTACATACATTGCTGAATTGTCTGAACAAGATTCAATTATTTTCACACAGCTGTGATCAGGGGTGGAAATAACTTTAAAATTGCTAGTGTACTCCGGTACAGTGGCACATGTAAAATCACTTGCCCTAATAATTTTTCCACTATACCGGCCGTTTTCTTGTAGATTTAAAAAAATTTAACATTATTAACATTGGAAAGTCAACTGGACACCGGTACAGTGTGATATACAAATTTGCTTGCCCGACAGAAAAAAACACTAGACTCGGACGTCGGGCAATGGGTTATTTCCACCCCTGAGTGATGTAGGTTTAATATTTGCTGAGTGCAACGTTAAACAGCAAACATGCACCTTCAACATGAACATGTATAGTGTTTATGTCGTAACTAGCAAGTCAGTTCATGGAGGGTTGTATATTGTATGTATGTGTTTGCCACTTGCAGTACCCATGATGCACGTGCTGAGCCTACACAGTAAGATTCTCACCATGCGCCCAACTCCCTACACCGACCTCTGGGCCCACATCACCGGGGTCACACTGTCGGAAGAATCTACAAGGTAAGCATGTTTGTCTTACAAGTCAGTAGACGCTTACAAACAGGCTGACTTGTGTTAATGCTGGACTTCTGTATACATCTACATGTATGTGTGAATTTAGTTCTTGTTGCCCCGCAGCTGAAATAATTCTGATGAGACGTAAAATCTTGACTACAAGAGTACAAAATGTCACACAGATCACACAGCGTACAGCCCCTTGCTGTACAAAGTTATCTTAGTGCGAACATATGTTTATTTACTTTTTGGGAACTGCTGTTATCGTACCTCAGAAATTGCTCTGTGGAAAGTACCCATTCTTCTTCATAGAGATCGTCCTTGGGGTACATATTATGCATTTTCCAAGCTGAAAATGTCCTGTGACAGTTGTATCAATGTTTTTTGAATAAAAAGATTGTACAATAAATAAACTCTTTTATTTACTATACGGCCCCCACCTCACGGAGTTACCTCCCGTTACGCATGCGCACCAACTGGGTAAGCACCTAGGCCCGTATCATCATTCCTTCTGCTGTCACTGCCTCTAACAGACGTATGTGTCGAGCAGAGCTGACCTTTTCTGAGAGAAAGAGTATAATGTCTGAGACACCACCTGTATGTATGGTCTTTATTTTGTCCTTGTTAAGGAACAGTAAAGCTTTGGCGGTCGGTTGTTTCATAATTGTGACTTTGTATTAATTATTTTACGCTAATCTTTCCTCGCGGTTTTACGCACATGTTGCTCTGCCATGGCGGGAAGTTTAGCGTGCCACGTGGTTGTAATATTGCGTATTGAACCAACTATTTCTTCCCGTGGTAGCCTTCACGTATTTTTCAATGTTTTCTACCTGTATATTAGCTGCTGGTCTGCCGTTAGCTACATGCTTGCATGTTTGCTTTCAGGCGTTTTCCGACTGTTCGGTCTGTGGGGGGAGTATTCCACGGGCCGACAGACACGACAAGTGTATCGTGTGCTTGGAAAAGTCCGGCCATGAGGCCGAAACTTGTGTAATTTGTCTGGGGTTTTCCCCCCGGGCCCAGAAGAGGAGGGCGGCCGACTTCCTCTTTTACAGAGAAATGCGTGAGGCGGGAGGGGAACTTACCCAGGTCCCCCTGTCTAAGGCTAAAAAGCCGCTCTCTAAGGGAAAAAAATCCCGTAGCCAGTCCCCTTCTCCCGCTCCTGGTAGCGGTTTTGATATGACTATAATCACACAGATGTTTCAGCAGCACGCAGACTCGATGAGGTCCCTCGTTCATGAGACGGTTGGAGGACTCCGGCAGGAGTTCCTCGCCCACTCTGAGCGTGGGGCGGAGAGTCTGGGGGTATCGCCGAGCCCGGCTCGATCCCTAGGCCTTGAGGCGTCTGTCGACCCGTTGCCTCTGGCTTCGGGTCAGGACGCCTCGGCTGCCCCGGAGGGGGAGGTGCTCCCAGTCCCCCTCTCGGAGTTGGCGCAGGGACCGTTGATGATTCCTGGGGTTCCGATCCCTGCGCCCTCCCGCCCCATGAGAGCGGAGGCACCAGTTCTGCCTGGTATGCCTCCAGCGTCTCGGGACCGGGGTCCGTGTATGCCTGCAGGCACTGACGCGGGGCGCTCTGTCTGCTCCTCCCTCTCTGTTGTTCCTAGTGCTAGGCAGCCCACCGGGTCGGGGTTCGGGTCCTCTTCGCGAGGAGACCCAGCCTCAGACAGGAGCAGGAGGGTGCCTTCCGTTTCTCTTCGGCTCTGCGGGAGGTCCGGCAAAGGATTGCTGAGTACCTACCCCAGGCCGCGGTGCCTGTTAGCAGCTCGGACTCGGCTGAGTTCCGCTTGCCAGGCGAGGTGTTTGCCCCTAGGCAGCCTACGCAGACGCAGCTCCGCATTCTTCCATCGTTAGTCCAGGACGTGGTCGATCCCCTCTTGTCTGGTTCTCGCCTCCGTTTTGACTTGTCGGAGCTTGTCCGGAGATACCAGCTTGGGGAGGATTCCCTGTTCGCGGTACCTATCGTGGATGAGTGTGTATTCACTTCAGTCGCCTTGGGGGGAGGCTCGGCTTCCTCCGGAGCAGCTCCGCTGCTCGGCAAGGGCGCAGACTCCACCGCTTGCCCTCGCTGGCGCCCCCCTGCAGCATGCGTACCGTACCTACGAGGAGGTTTACAGGAACGCTATGCAGCAGGTCAGGGTGGTGGTCCATGAGGCCTACCTCTCCTCGATTCAGAGGTCGGCCCTGGAGGCGGAGGGGCATGTTGGTGATGTTTCACCGCATATCGTGCTCCTCCGGCAGTTGTCTGAAGTGCAGGCCCACCTCGCACGTGACTCTTTGCGGTCTGCTGCGTGGACGGTGATGTGCGCAGTCATGGGGATGCGCAAGCTGTGGCTGTCGACGTCTCGTTACTCGGCAGCGACACAGCAGACCTTGCTGGCCCTCCCCTTCCGTCTGGGAGCGACCCTCTTTCCAGGGGCACAGCAGGTCATACGGGAGCCTGCCGCTGCAGCTACCTCCTTCAAGGACTCTAAGGCCTTGTCTTGCCCCCGCGCTCCCATTCCACCTTTCTCCGCAGGGGTGCAGCCTACACCCGAGTCCACTGGCTGGCTTCGGCCGCTTGGCAGGGGTAAGCGGAGGCACAGGTCCGCCAAGGGTAAGGGCAAGGAGCAGTCCTCGACTAGCTCCCAGCCTTTTCGCGGGCGCGGGAGGTCTGCCCCGACCTCCCGTTAACCCATCAGGCTGTCGATCAAGCCGTGTGTCACGCCCAGTCAGCTCCGCTACTCGGGACGACGCACACGCTCTTTCCTGACGTCCCAGTGGGAGGCCGCCTCTCTCTATTCCTACCGGAATGGGAGAAGGCTACACAAAACACTTGGGTGCTGTCCACCATCAGTGTAGGCAATTTACCACTGTGGAAGCGAGGTCCGCCCGACTTCACTGGCATACGCCGCACTCCGGTGCCGTCATGTCAGGCAAGGGCGGACATATTGCGCGACGAAGTTCAGGCTCTGCTGGACAAGTCCGCAATCAAGCGCATTCCACCGGGAGAGGAACAGGCGGGATTTTACTCCACGTACTTCCTCGTCCCGAAGAAAGATGGCGGGTTCCGTCCCATTCTCAACCTCAAGGGGTTGAACCGCATGCTAGAAGTACCATCCTTCAAGATGGAGACACTGCGCTCGGTGATCTCATCTGTTCAGCCCGGCGATTGGCTCACGTCAATCGACCTCAAGGATGCGTATCTGCATGTGCCCATACATCCATCGTTCAAGCAGTACCTTCGGTTCTCTTTACGACGGGATGTGTTACCAATTCACGGTGCTCCCCTTCGCATATCGACTGCCCCAAGGGTGTTCACCAAGCTCATGTTAGTCCCGCTACCCTCGCCTGCCGCAAGGAAGGCATTGTTACCCTTACCTCGACGACTGGTTGCTCGGAGCACTAACGCAGCCAGCGAGCCTAGATGCTACTCACACAGTGATAGACATTCTAGTTCGACTGGGGTGGATCATCAACTTCAAGAAATCCGACCTGGTACCCACCCAGGACTTGGTTTTTCTCGGGGCGAGGTTCCAAACGCACAAGGATCTAGTTTCCTTGTCGCCCGACCGGATCACCAGAGTACGGGAGATGGTGTCTTCGTTCCTCTCCCAGCCCCAGGCACCAGCACGGACTTGGCTCCGCTTCTACTGGGCCATATGGCGGCGGCGATCTCTGTAGTGTGGCGGGCGCTGCTGAGGATGCTCTATACAGCAAGCTTTGGCGAAGTCTGTGGGCTCACTCGAGGACCTGGAGCGCAGTCTCACAGTCCCCGGGTGGTTGACACCTCACCTTCAGTGGTGGACCAATGTCGGGAATCTCACCAGGGGTCCCCTTGGAAATCCCGACGCCAGCTCTCACAGTTCAGACCGATGCGCCCCTCACGGGCTGGGGTGTTCTGGACAGTCTGTCGGTGTCCGACTCTGGTCCGAAGCCGGCCCACCTTCACATCAACGTGTTGGAACTGAGAGCTGTGCGGTTGGTTTTCGAAGCGCTTCAGAGAGCATGTCCAGGGCCAGGTAGTCCGCCTTCAGTTGGACAACCAGACGGCCATGTCGCATACATCCTGAAGCAGCGCGGCACGGTGTCCCCAGCGCCTCTCCGGAGGCGTGGACTTTCTCCTCTGGTGCGACCAGTGCGATTGTCAGGTACTCCCTGTTTATCTCCCCGGGTTGAAGAACATGCGAGCAGACGCGTTTCTCTCGCCGATCCTGGCCCCGCACGCAGTGGATGCTCGACAGGCAGATTTTCAGAGTTATCTCCCAGTTGTACGGGTCGCTCCAGGTGGATCTGTTTATTGCCCGGCGGGACGAATCAGACACCCGTGGTTCTGCTCTCTCGAATACCGACCCAGGGCGCTGGCTGCCGGCGCCTTCCTGCTGGATTGACGGGCAAAGTGCTCTGGCGTTCCGCCCGCTACCACTCATTCCCCGTGTCCTTTCACAGCTGTCCACCCAGCCAGCTCGGCTGCTTGTGCTACTGGCACCGCTTTGGCCGTCACAGAGCTGGTTTCCGGTAATTCTCAGGTTTCTGGCTCAGCCTCCTGTTCTATTACCTTTACGACCAGACATTCTCACTCAGAACGGAGCGCCCCACCCAAATCCAAGGATTCAGTGGGTGGCTTGGCCTCTGTCAGGTCTAGCCTCGAGGCACGCGGAATTCCTGCAGCAGTTGCAGACACAATTCTGGCTTCGGTAGGCGGATTCGGCCAAACGCTCAGTATGAGGATAGGTGGTCGCGGGCGCTTATGCCGCTGGTGTTCAGATAGGGGATTGCAGATCCCTTTTCTGCGGATTTAGTCCGGTATTGGAGTTTTTGCAAGCCCGTTTGGAAGAAGGCCTGGTGGCTTCGACCATTCGCGGCTACTCCACCGCTATTTCCACTTTTCACACCCCTGTCGATGGTGCTCTTCGTACAGCGCTTTCTCGCTGGCGCGGAACGGGTTCGACCTGCTGTCAGGCGAACCAGCCCACCTTGGGATTTGTCAATTGTGCTCGATTGGCTGTCCAGTCCAACTTTCTCACACCTATCGGCTATTTCCATTCAGTTGTTAACTTGGAAGGCTGTTTTTCTGGTGGCGGTAACGTCTGGGCGTAGGGTCGGCGATTTACATGCTATGTCGTCCGACCCGGTAGCTGACTGTGTTTCACACTGATCGGTGTCAGTATTCTCCTCCCGGATAATGCATCGCCGCCCGAAGGTCGATCACGCTTTCCATGTGACAGCTCCTATCGAACTTCCCACTCTTACCCAGCCTTCCACATCGGGACCCTCTGCAACGCACACTCACCCGTTGGATGTCCGTAAGACCCTCAAAGTCTATATCAAACGAACGCAGGGAACTGCTCGGGTACCCAGCTGTTCTGTTGTTACGGTGGCGGGAAGGCTGGTGTGCCAGCGAGCAAGCAGACTTTGTCTCGCTGGCTAGTTTCGTGTATTTGTGCCGCTTATCAGGCTAAGGGCAAGCCTCCCCCTGAGGGGTTGAAGGCTCACTTGGTCAGGGCAGTAGCCGCATCAAAAGCTTTTGCATCGGCACTCCCCATTGAAGAGATCTGCTCTGCCGCTATTTGGAGCCGGCCTAGCACGTTTATTCGGCATTATCAGCTCGATACGCATTCCCGTAATCGTGCGAGCTTTGGCCGTTCTGTTCTCTCCAGTGGACAGTGTCCTGCCACCCTGACCGAGTGAGTCTTGGTTCATTGGTTTTGTTTGACGCTACTGTACAATACTGTGTGTTATTGACATGTCCGCTACTGGGAGCTAACTACCCACATTTTGATTCTCTACGGAGTATTAAAGTCGATTGTGAGTGTTTGACATTCCCCCCTACGGTGCTCACTAATCGACATGTGGTGGGTGGGGATTTGTTTACATTTCGCACCATGTGCGATTTACTATGCTAGCATTTGGAGGTCGTCTTTGAGCACAAATCCTCCCTGTCGGTTCCCCTCCCATAATGCCTCTCGCGGACGCGAAAACTGGGACATACGACAGGTGAGTGTCATGGCGTCTGTTACATTTTTTTCCATTAACGATAGCTATTTGTGTGTGCTTGGACAGAATTCCCTCCTCCCTGGCCTCTGGTCTTTGGGAGTCTGTGTTTATGCATAATATGTACCCCAAGGACGATCTCTATGAAGAAGAATTAACCAAACCTGAAGAGGTTTTCAATTCTTCAAAGAGAGTCGTCCTTGGGGTAGGGCCTCCCGCCTCCCCGCAATTCTGTTCACTGATTTATTCAGTAGAAGGAATGATGATACGGGCCTAGGTGCTTACCCAGTTGGTGCGCATGCTCAACGGGAGGTAACTCCGTGAGGTGGGGGCCGTATAATAAATAAAAGAGTTTATTTATTGTACAATCTTTTTATTCAAAAAACATTGATACAACTGTCACAGGACATTTTCAGCTTGGAAAATGCATAATATGTACCCCAAGGACGACTCTCTTCGAAGATTTGAAAACCTCTTCAGGTTTGGTTAAGTTTCTTTAAAATCAGATCTTAGTGCCCGCTGCCACTACTCAAACAACTGAGGTCATCCAGTTACAAAGCGTTCACTCGTCATGCCGAAGACCCGTGTTCCATTCCCCACATGGGTACAATGTGTGAAGCCCATTTCTGGGGTCCCCTGCCGTGATATTGCTGGAATATTGCTCAACCGGAGTAAAACTGAACTCACTCACTCACTCACTGTTACAGGTGATGTCAGAACAACCTTTTTGCAAAGTTTGACTGACCAGTGAAATGACTAACAGGAAGTCAACATTAGCCAACCAGAAGACAGACTAAACAGTGACAAATAGATTGACAACTTTGATTCAAAATTTGAAAACTAAGCAAAAGTAAATTTAGATAGGTCACAGATAGCCAAGATTGTATGTAGTATGGCAGTAGAAAGTCTCCCTACTGACAGTAGAAAGTCTCTTCTGTTTCAAATGTTTATCTCATTTCGTGTCAAGATAGCCAGTGATGTTGACAGAGTCAGTTATACAGTTCATAACTTTTGTTAATGTTTAGGAGGTTGTGTGATTAGAAGACACAACGGTACTTCTAGCATGATCAAAACGTTGTTCTGACGTGACCTGTAATGTCAAGTGTAAACTCACTTGCTCACTCACTTACCCAAACCTTTCAGACACACCACAGGGCTGGTTAGATGTAAAACTTGCCAGCCCTGACGAAAACTTACCTGCCAAATAATTTACGTTTGACAAGGGACGTAGTTTATCATCCATTTGGAATTCATCATTTATTTTTACGAGTATAATAATGATTTATTGTCCTGAAATATGATGTATATCTTCATATACATGTCATAATTTTAACCCGACCATCAGGCAGGTGAATTTGAGAATCTGGCAGCCCGTGTTGAAAATAACCCGTCCCGGGCGGTCGGGCAGGCAGGTTTTTCGAACGCTGATATAACAAAAGTCGGAGTCTGGTCCCTATTGATTGTTGCTTGCATCACATGACTGCTGTGTTTTCCAGCATATCTGTGTTCCACAAAGACGTTCCACTCCTGCTGAAGGATGCCACGTCTCTACTTATTCAATTAATCCTCACACTACCAGCAACAATCAAAGAAGGTATGTATCAGATATCTGATGTCATGATGGTTCTTAGGAGGAAATTTGTCATGTCACTGGCAGTAATGTATGTCCTGGTTTGATGTTCATATTTAAAGGGCCGGTGGGGTAGCCTAATGGTTAAAGTGTTGGCTCGTCACGCCATAGACCCGGGTTCGAATTCCCACATGGGTACAATGTGTGAAGCCAATTTCTGGTGTCCCCCGCCGTGATGTTGCTGGAATATTGCTAAAAGCGGCGTAAAACCAAACTCAGTCAGTCAGTCATATTTAAACTATATTTTCTCATATAGGAGCCTCACAGTGAGGGTGTGTGTTTGAAGCCCAGATGGGCCATAGCACATGTAAAATTTCTCATCAACAAAATACTGCCCTTGAAATTCTCAGATATACCTTGGATTATGTTTTCATTGAATCTATGAGTATAGTCACCTTTGTCAGATTCGACGCCTGTCACTTTTTATGGTAGGAAACAAGACTGAAACTTTGAGTATTAGTCAGGCTCGGTTACAGGTCACCAGTAGCGATAATGAAGATTGCAACTTTATGGATGACAACTTCTTGTTTATTGCATAGAGCAATGTTTTGGTGTAGATTCTTACAGTTACCCCATTATCTTTTAGGTTGATAATGGTGTGATAACATCACTCAATGAAAATAACAAGAATTTCTTGTCCATAAATATTTTATTAAAAAATATAGTTACAACTGTCGTGGGAATTGAAATGGACATTTAAATGCTTATATGTACCCCAAGGAGGACTTTCTTCAAAGAATTCATAACCTCTACAGGTTTGTATAAATGTCTTGTCCATAAAGTTGAAATCTTTGTTATTGACATACCAACTTAAGACTGAAAGTCAATCAGCTCACCAGTAGCAGCTCCTCCCCATATCCATGAAGCCCATTTCTGGTGTCCCCCACCCTGATGTTGCTGGAATATTGCTAAAAGCGGCATAAAACCAAACTCAGTCAGTCAGTCCTCCCCATATCCATTATCATATTTCCTGCAACTGCCACTCATTATCCTCTGTTTTAGGGTTGTTTTTGTAATTGTTATATCTTTTTCCATTTCAGAGCACTTTGACTTCCTAGTACAAATGTTGTACAATGTTGTATATATCCAAGCTATGTCTGTGATCAGCTGTAAGTTCACCCCTGAGGAGAGGGAGGCGTGGCGCAAGAAGGGGCAGCATGTGAGTTGTCACCAGTGACGTACATGTACACACACAGTCAAACACACAGACACTCAGATAAACACACACAGAGTGATAAACAGAGACAGACACAGTCACACGTGCACATACACTCTCTCTCTCTGACTCTCTGACTGACATCCCAGTAACAGATTGTGACTGTCACAGTTGTTTTGTAATGCAGAAAGATATGTGTATGAACTACTTAGATAAAGCATTCTGAAGAGACAAAACATCGGTGACAAAAGACTAGTATTCCATTCAGCAACTGAAGACTGACAATGTGTGAATCACGTGTGTTCCAGCTGCCAGTTGAAACTATGGAGGGCATGCTGAGCCACATCGTCACCAGGCTCAGTCTCAGTAGACTGTTCGAAGATGACGACAAGCAGAGTATACCAGCGGTGAGTATACATGTGAATTCATGATGAAGTGCAGCACATTCTTCCTGCAGTGTGAGGCGGTGGGGTAGCCCAGTGAATAAAGCGTTCACTCGTCACGCTGAAGACCCGGGTTCGATTCACCACAGGGTACAATGTGTCCCCTGAAGCCCATTTCTCGTGAAGACCGTGTCCCTGCCATATTGCTGTCGGAGTGGCGGGGTAGTCTAGTGGTTAAAGTGTTTGCTCGTCACGCCGAAGACCCGGGTTCGATTCACCACAGGGGTACAATGTGTGAAGCCCATTTCTGGTGTCCCCGCCGTGATATTGCTGGAATATTGCTACAAGCGGTGTGAAACTCACTAGGCTGTTGTATAAAGGGAAGGTAATTGTTAACTATGATTGTATAAAGGGTAGGTAGTTGTTCAGTGTGGAACCATTGTTTTACAGATCTGCCAGAGTGTGTGGTCACCTCACAGTGTGGAGGACTCGCTACAGGAGTTCTGTCTCCCCTTCCTCAGGATGGCTGCACTCCTCAAACACAATCTGTTTGATCTGGAGATCAACTCAACACAGGTAGGTGTGATTTATTAAATGTAATCATCAAATAATGTATATAAGTTCTTTATACAGACAAATTATTTCCAATACATCTGTACTTAGTACTGATACCTATGGCTTATGATATACTGTTCTCGACTGGAACATCTATGAATGCTGTTTTCCTACTGACTAGCTTACCACCTAACTAGTCAAATATAAACTGTTTTCCTACTGACTAGTCAATTATCTACTCTTTCCTTTTTACTTGTCTAATATTTAATTTATGTAGCTTACCACCTAACTAGTCAAATATAAACTGTTTTCCTACTGACTAGTCAATTATCTACTCTTTCCTTTTACTTGTCTAATATTTAATTTATGTAGCTTACCACCTAACTAGTCAAATATAAACTGTTTTCCTACTGACTAGTCAAACATCTACCCTTTCCTTTTTTACTTGTCTAATATCTAATTTATGTAGCTTACCACCTAACTAGTCAAATATAAACTGTATTCCTACTATAAACTGTTTTCCTACTGACTAGTCAATTATCTACTCTTTCCTGTTTACTAATCTAATATCTAATTTATGTAGCTTACCATCTAACTAGTCAAATATAAACCGTTTTCCCATTGACTAGTCTCACATCTTCTTTTTATCCCAGGACCAGTGGGAGTTCCAGTTCCTGAGTTCCTACCTCGGCCTACACAAGAACCAAGGCAAGGCAGCGGGAGCCAGGGAGGTGGACACAACAGTCTGTGTGAGTTGGGCGGTCAGTGAGCCCCTCAAACTGACCAGGGCCTGGTGCACGGACCTCCTCAACTTCATCGGCATGCGACCTGTGGAGGGGAAAGTAAGTTCACAGATGGCCTGGCATTGATTCACGTTCACTGGTCCAAATGCACTGCTAGCATCTGTCACGGACGATGAGCCCAGTGAATGTGCGAATTATCAAGTTGAGTGTAAGCTCAGGAGGGTAGTGCAGATAAGCTGTTGATTAAATATCACACATGCGTAAACATGGGCGCTGTTCAAATTATTTGTTTATTATTCACATTTCATTTAAGCATACGTTCCCACAAGCACAATTTGTTGTACAGCTTTAGTGGACAGTATGATAAGAATGTTTCAAATTTACATTTGGGTTTGACATCTCAGAAGACGAAGGGAGACTCAGGGTTAGAAAAGTGGACACAAGTGGCCAAGTAATGTAAGGTGCCATGATTTGATTGGCAGAGTGGTGTCCCTAACCAGGCCAATAACTTATATGAATGTGGGAGTGAATCCTGGTTTGCTCTAATCATGTTTTGAGCTTTGTCAGTAACATTCTTTCACTAAAAGGGCAGTGGGATAGCTGAGTGGGTAAAGCATTCAATTGTCATATCAAAACCCCGGGTTCGACACCCCACATGGGTACAATGGGTGAACCCATTTCTGGTGTCCCCTGCCGTGATATTACTGGAATATTGCTTAAAACAGCATAAAACTAAACTCACTGACATACTCTTGTACTAAAATGTTACCACTGCATCATACTTGTCCTGATGTTGAATTAGGAATCATTGAGGGGAAATTAAAACTGATTCTATGCCATAATGACTTTACACCAAGTAACCAATCTATGATTTGTATGGGATGCGTGCTAATATGGCTGTATGTGATTTGTGTGTCCAGTTCTTCCTGGTGATGCAGCCGACATGGTTCACGCCACGTCTGGTGGAGCTGCCAGCCCAGTACTACAAGATATTCCAGACGTATCGCAACAAACAGTGTGCAGTGTGCAACAAGGTGCCCCTCGACCCAACCATCTGCCTCATGTGCGGACACTTCCTCTGTTTCCGTGACAACTGCTGTAAAGAAGGCATGGTGTATGAGTGTGTTCAGGTCGGTTCACCCTTGTGCTGTCAACCTTCTGTCACTTGTCAACCCTTTACGTTACATCCTTCTATAATGATATGCCTTTATGATGACAGGCTTTTTAATTCAAATCTCTATCATGGCCATCTCTCTCATGACATCCCTCTTGTGGCATCACTAAATTCATTCCCCATCCAAACAACCGACACACATGACATCCCAGGCTCAAGGCATTTCTCATGACCTCTCATATTACAAATAATGATATATCTCCTGTGAAATCCCTCTTAACATCCTATAAATTGACATCCCCTCTCATGACACTGGTGTCCCCTCCCTCATGACATCCCTCTCCCATGACACCCCACTCAAGACACCCGACTCTCATGCCATCCCTCTATTATGACACTTCTCCCTCATGACATCCCTCTCCCATGACACCCCTCTCAAGACACCCGACTCTCATGACATCCCTCTCTTAAGACACCCTCTCCCCTCACCCATGACATCCTCTCTTCCCCCTGACTCCATGACACCTCCCTGTGGTCATCCCTCTCCCATGACACCCCACTCAAGACTCCCAACTCTCATGACATCCCTCTCCCATGACACCCCACTCAAGACACCTGACTCTCATGACATCCCTCTCCCACATCCCTCTCCCGCGACACCCCTCTCACAAGACACCATGACATCATGACTCTCCCATGACACTCCCCCTCAAGACACCCCTCTCATGACATCCCTCTCCCATGACACCCCACTCAAGACACCCGACTCTCATGACATCCCTCTCCCATGACACCCCCACTCAAGACACCTGACTCTCATGACATCCTCTCCCATGACACCCCACTCAAGACACCTGACACTTCTCCCTCGTGACATCCCTCTCCCATGACACCCCACTCAAGACACCTGACTCTCATGACATCCCTCTCCCATGACACCCCACTCAAGACACCCGACTCTCATGACATCCTCTATTATGACACTTCTCCCACGTGACATCCCTCTCCCATGACACCCCACTCAAGACACCCGACTCTCATGACATCCCTCTCCCATGACACCCCTCTCAAGACACCCGACTCTCATGACATCCCTCTATTATGACACTTTTCCCTCTTGACATCCCTCTCCCATGACACCCCACTCAAGACACCCGACTCTCATGACATCCCTCTCCCATGACACCCCACTCAAGACACCCGACTCTCATGACATCCCTCTCCCATGACACCAACTCAAGACACCCAACTCTCATGACATCCCTCTATTATGACACTTCTCCTCATGACATTCCTCTCCCATGACACCCCTCTCAAGACACCCAACTCTCATGACATCCCTCTATTATGACACTTCTCCCACATGACATCCCTCTCCCATGACACCCCTCAAGACACCCGACTCTCATGACATCCCTCTCCCATGACACCCCACTCAAGACACCCGACTCTCATGACATCCCTCTATTATGACACTTCTCCCTCATGACATCCCTCTCCCATGACACCCCACTCAAAGACACCCGACTCTCATGACATCCCTCTCCCATGACACCCCACTCAAGACACCTGACTCTCATGACATCCCTCTCCCATGACCATGACACCTCCTCAAGACACCCGACTCTCATGACATCCCTCTATTATTACACTTCTCCCCTCTGATGACATCCCTCTCCCACTGACACCCCTCTCAAGACACCCACTCTCGTGACATCCCTCTATTATGACACTTCTCCCTCGACATCCCTCTCCCATGACACCTCCCTCAAGACACCCGACTCTCATGACATCCCTCTATTATGACACTTCTCCCTCATGACATCCCTCTCCCATGACACTCCACTTAAGACACCCGACTCTCATGACATCCCTCCCCCATGACACCCCACTCAAGACACCCAACTCTCATGACATCCCTCTATTATGACACTTCTCCCTCATGACATCCCATTTTCTCATGAGCTCATACCACCTACTTCTCATCTCAACAGCATTCCATTACTTGCGGAGGAGGAATCGGCATCTTCCTGTTGGTCAACTCCAGCGTCATCATCGTCATCCGAGGTCCGCGGGCAACGTTATGGGGGTCTGTGTTCCTGGACGAGCATGGGGAGGAGGATAGGGACCTGAAGTAAGTTGAGCTAGATTCCAGTTGGCGATCTTGTTACATTGTTTCAGGCGCTGTGAAGAGTTACAACCCTTAGATTACCAGGATCTGCTGGTCATAGGTTCAAACAAAAATATCATCCCGATAATCATTTTCTCATGCCCAAGTTCTTTGGCTCTGACTGAGATAAATCTCTGCATCACTTTGGGCATTTGAGATCAATATTCAGCCTGAAGTTTACAGCAAATATCTTATGGCGTTCTGACAAAATATACAAAATTCCAATTCATTCTGTTGAACTAATTTTATTACTGTATAAAAGTTAATTGTCAGTGATGATAGGATGGTGAAAGAGGAAGATGATGTTAGGCATATTTTTCAATTAGTGCTTTGAATGCAGTGACAAAATCTAAGGCACCAGGCTAGTGATCCAGGGAGCTTGAGGTGCCGGGATCGAGCCCACCTACGACCGGGTATAAAAACCTTGGAGTCAACTTTGTGTGCAGACTCTTTCAGTGTTGTCAGACTCTTTCGTGTACAGTACACAGCCCTGTGCACTTAAAGAACCCACAAATCCGTTGGTGAATGACCAGATGGTGGCCACATGAAAACTTGCAAACACCTAGTTGCAGGTACAGCAGTAAACAGTAAACTTGGGCAAAGTACTGTGACTACGTGTCCTAGTCCACCCAGCTGTGAATGGGTACCTGTAAGGATTGGAAAGCTTTATTAACTCGGTGTGCATAAATGGCTGCAAGAGTTTTATGTTCCCCAGGGAGTTGAGATTGAAACATATGATGTGCTGTTGAGATTGACATCAAGTGATCGAGGGAAAAACAAAGCACCTTTGATCAGCTGAGCTGAGCTGGATATTGGCTCTATACAAATATCATATAATATATATATATATATATCATATAAAATTGTCTAAATTTTCAAATCTTCAACAAAATAATATTTTTTCCTATTTTACCTGCTCTGGCCTCTTTGTTCGGAATCCAAGATAATCTTTGTTATGTGTTTCTATACATTAGTACATTAGTTCTACAACTGAAGATCCAGTCCAGCAAGGATTCGGAGTTGACTTTTAAAGTCAGTTATCTCCCTTGCATTGGGAGGATGCACATCCACTCACTTAACATGTCTGTTTCAGACGAGGCAAACCGCTGTACCTCAGCAAAGAAAGGTATGCACTGCTCCAGGAACAATGGCTGTCTCACAGCTTTGATCGAGTTTGCAAGAAGTGGATCTGGCATCGAGACAGACTCTAACCAGCTCCAAGTCTGTACAGATTGTGTCATGTCCGTTCATCTGTCTCCGAGTCCTTACCTTCAGCCTGCATCAACACAGGTGGCAACTTACCCTTTCTGGGAACTCATTACTTAATACTTTACTTTATGTGTTAATGGTAATATTACTGTGAACATACTTGTGCATTCATTTTCTACAAGATCCACTACCTTCCTCTAATATCTGAAATAATTTACATAATATTCTTTCCTTTGTTTGTATTTTCATTCAAAAATGGCTGAATCAGTATGAAAGACAAAAGCAGGAGTGAATATTTTAGTTTCGTATCTGGACAGGATACCAAATTTGAAACCATAGTTTCGTATTCATTGTCTGATAGCTCCTGTTGGATGAAAATGTCAAGTCAATACAGTAAGCTATCATTAAAACAGGTGTGATTGTTTGTGCTAGGAATCTGAGATCATGGTGAATTCCAGATTTGCCATGATTATAATCTTAGTTTGCCACCATTACCATATTGTGGTTTTACAAAGTGGTGAGTGTCAAAGATCTGATTCACTTTGGACTTTCCAACACTAGTTGAGGCGGTGGGGTAGCCTGATGGTTAAAGTGTTTGCTAGTCACGTTGAAGATCCAGGTTCGATTCCCCTCATGGGGACAACATGTGAAGCCCATTTCTGGTGTCCCCCGCCATGATATTGCAGGAATATTACACAAGAGGCGTAAAACAATACTCACTCACTCTCTCCTACATAAGCTGACTGACTGTAACCGACCTGAGATTGTGGATTAACGTTTTTGAGGGGTGGATCAGGGGACTCAAAGTCTTTGACTGGTAAGGCTCCAGGTTAAAAAATCAGATTCCATCGAAATTTAAAAATTGATTACAGTGCTCTACAACAAGTGATGATCGTGCTCATGCTCACCTCTGTAACAATATATATTGAGTTCCCCAAATGAAATCTATAAGTGACAGAGCTAGAAGATCGTCAAGCATTTGACTGTGCATAGTATTTTTAAATCATTTTCTATGGAAATTAATTGTAAGTGGTACCAAATCATGAACCAGCATCACTATTTCCTAAACACGCTAAAGTAGATATATTGTCTTCTGTCTAGATGCAATAGAATGCAGGATTTTGCTTCCAGTAATCTATGTGAAATTCAGTATAGTGTAAAAACCAGCTCACTCACTCACTCATTCTGTTGATGATTGTCTTTTTTTAGCTGAGGGGAGAATTTCTTTGTTTCTGGAATGTTATGTTTCTTATTGTACATTATCTCCCCTTTTAAGTCTTCTGTTTTGTTATTGTGATGGAGGAGTCAGTTTATTGTTCCTCTTGGGATTATTGGAGAAGAAGGGATTTTTTTCTTGTTGTGTTTTTGAATTCTTTCTTTACTGATAAGTAAGTGCTAGGAATTGTTTGGTTATCCAAAGTTTGAATCAATTTCATCTGGCAATTTATCTGTGGATTGGCATTAGATGTTTTCATACCCAGTTCTGTTTTTTTGTGAATTACCCTCTCGTCTTTTTGGTGGTCAGATTTATTAATTATTCTGAACCAGACATCTGTTCATATTTCTACTGTGTACTCAGTGAGAAACTGAGGTTCTGCTTTAGTTCTACTTCAGTCTAAGTCAACTTAATCTCAGAATTATTCGTTACACTGGTATATACTGAGTCTAACAAACCCTAGTAGAAGGTCGCGTCAGCTGACCTTTGAGCGATCTATGACCGTCCAATCAAACGCGAGATGTCTGAACGGAATTAGCCAATCAGGGTTTGGCGGGACTTACAAATTGACAATGCAAGATGAACTAATATCAAATAGATGTGAATAATAGCACCCTTCATGTGTATCACTCCGAAGCGATCATGCGGAAAATAGCATTCGGAATTGTTCAAGTACAAAGTTTTCGTAGTAAAAGTTCAAATGGCCACTCAGGGTTTGGCGGGACTTACAAATTGACAATGCAAGATGAACTAATATCAAATAGATGTGAATAATAGCACCCTCCATGTGTATCACTCGGAAGCGATCATGCGGAAAATAGCATTCGGAATTGTTCAAGTACAAAGGTTTTCGAGGTAAAAGTTCAAATGGTATGTGTGAATGTTAACTTTCGCAATTTGGTAAGGTGTGTTCTGATTGGTCAATTAAAAGGTTAGCTGACTTCTACTAGGGTTTGTTAGACTCAGTACAGCAGTGTATAATACTGAGCTATATGGTCTCAGCTTTCACCTTTTTCAATGACTAATTCCTTCATATGTATGATTAAGCAGTACAATGGGTTTTACAAACTAAATTGTTCAAGTTTTGCAAACCTGTTGCAGATTTAAATTGATATAACTTGTGTTGTGATCAAAAGATGCATCCCATTGTTCATTGTTTCAAGGGCACGATGCATGGGAGTTATCTCCCTTGAACAGCTGCATCCATGATTTGCCTCACCTTCATCTCTCCATGTTTGTGTTTATTTAATCAGATCCTTCATGACTGAATGTCAGCCTTCTTTCTACTTTAGTTACCTTTGATATGGAAGAAAACAATATGTTTTCCAAATTTTTTATCAATCATGTAAATATATACATTGTTATTTATGTGAATGTGTTTGTTTATGATATCACTCATTTCATGTAGTTGTGTTACCATAGTTACGGACCTCTGTAGCTTCGTTGTAAGTGTTTGTTTGCAGGTTATAATTCTTTCTTGATATGCATAATATACATACTGCTATTTATTTCCTGAAGTAATTTCATAAATATGTCTACACAGTACAAGTAGATTAATATTTGAGTTTGTTTAGTAGTTTTTCTCATGTTAGGTGGGATTTTGTATGGTCCCCAAAGTAACTTAAATGTTTGAAGTGTTTTTCATAGAATTGTGTTTTACCCAGTTACCTTATCCTGTCAGAGGTTGACTGGGGCTAGTTCGAGCAGAAAATGAAAAGAGAATTTCTTTGACCCTATGCCGTAGTATGGCTTGCACAAACAGATTGATGGGCTGTTAGTTTGCCTGCTCAAATTTGTCCCATCTCATTTGTGTATTTGTGTATTAAAAATGTTCCACATTGTTTCCTACTGGTATCTACAGACTAGTCTGTGCAGAGTTCCCTCCCTTAGATCTCAGGATCTGCTGTCAAGTGTTCAAATCTTGACCGAAATAATTAGCATTAGTTGGCTCTAGGTGTTTCCCACTGGTATCTACAGGACTCTGTGCAGAGTTCCCTCCCTTAGATCTCAGGATCTGCTGTCAAGTGTTCAAATCTTGACCGAAATAATTAGCATTAGTTGGCTCTAGGTGTTTCCCACTGGTATCTACAGGACTCTGAGCAGAGTTCCCTCCCTTAGATCTCAGGATCTGCTGTCAAGTGTTCAAATCTTGACCGAAATAATTAGCATTAGGTGGCTCTAGGTGTTTCCCACTGGTATCTACAGGACTCTGAGCAGAGTTCCCTCCCTTAAATCTCAGGATCTGCTGTCAAGTGTTCAAATCTTGACCGAAATAATTAGCATTTGCTGGCGTGTCGTAGGTTTTACCAGTAGTCCTGTATGATGTCAACTGACTGTGATATAACTGAAACACTGTTTAAAACGGCATTAAACCAAACTCACTCCAAATGGTAAATGATGCCTTAAGTCCTTAGTGAGTTTAATGATGTTATATTTGTTTGTCTTGCGTAGCAGCTGAAGTTTGAAGGATGAAAACATTAGTATGACTGTTTAAGTTTGCAAGACAAACAGTATGAGTCGTATTTGCATTGATTGAATTTGTAGATAGTGTAAATATGGCTTGTTATGAATTGATCTTAATTTTCAATCTGTACATGGTGTATTGTACTAAATGTTGCTGAAGCAGTTTCAAATGAATAAATATATGGGTACATGCTTCTCTAGCGTCTGAGTTGTTTGTTTTGGGGCTGTGTTTGTAAGTATCTTCCAGCAGTGATCTGAAAATGTCTCGGTCTTTACAGACAATCCATTGATTAGCAGTATGAGCAGCAATCAATGGGATTTGATGACATGTGTCAACCAAGTAAGGGAGCCTGAGGGGCGATGGGGTAGCCTAATGGTTAAAGCGTTGGCTCGTCACGCCAATGACCCGGGTTCGAATCCCCATATGGGCACAATGTGTGAAGCCCATTTCTGGTGTCCCCCGCCGTGATGTTGCTGGAATATTGCTAAAAGCCACGTAAAAACCAAACTCAGTCAGTCAGTCCGGGAGCCTGACCAATCCCATTGGTAGCCTCTTATGACAAGCATTGGTCTTGAAGACTAACCTGTGAGTGTGCATGTGATCATGTGATTATGAGCATGGCTATATTTGAGATACTGCCACGTATCTGTGAGTCTGAACATGGCTATATTTGAGATACTGCCACGTATCTGTGAGTCTGAACATGGCTATATTTGAGATACTGCCACATATCTGTGAGTCTGAACATGGCTATATTTGAGATACTGCCACGTATCTGTGAGTCTGAACATGGCTAACATGGCTATATTTGAGATACTGCCACGTATCTGTGAGTCTGAACATGGCTATATTTGAGATACTGCCACGTATCTGTGAGTCTGAACATGGCTATATTTGAGATACTGCCACGTATCTGTGAGTCTGAACATGGCTATATTTGAGATACTGCCACGTATCTGTGAGTCTGAACATGGCTATATTTGAGATAACGTATGCCATGGCTATCTGTGAGTCTGAACATGGCTATATTTGAGATACTGCCACGTATCTGTGAGTCTGAACATGGCTATATTTGAGATACTGCCACGTATCTGTGAGTCTGAACTGTGAGTCTGAACATGGCTATATTTGAGATACTGCCACGTATCTGTGAGTCTGAACATGGCTATATTTGAGATACTGCCACGTATCTGTGAGTCTGAACATGGCTATATTTGAGATACTGCCACATATCTGTGAGTCTGAACATAGATATATTTGAGATACTGCCACGTATCTGTGAGTCTGAACTGTGAGTCTGAACATGGCTATATTTGAGATACTGCCACGTATCTGTGAGTCTGAACATGGCTATATTTGAGATAATGGCACATATCTGTGAGTCTGAACATGGCTATATTTGAGATACTGCCACGTATCTGTGAGTCTGAACATGGCTAGTCTGAAACATGGCTATATTTGAGATACTTGAGATACTGCATGGCATATTTGAGATACTGCCACGTATCTGTGAGTCTGAACATGGCTATATTTGAGATACTGCCACATATCTGTGAGTCTGAACATGGCTATATTTGAGATACTGCCACGTATCTGTGAGTCTGAACATGGCTATATTTGAGATACTGCCACGTATCTGTGACTGTGCACTTTATGCCATTACAGTTCGTTTGAGACAGAATGATACCGATGAATTGCAATCTAACACAAAAACAAAGATATAAAAGAATCAAACCAACGCAGAGTGCAATAAAAACAACAGACCAACTCTAGAAAAAATATCGCACTGTTCCTTTAGTTGCCAATGCGCCCTTGTAACAAACTTGGAAAACGCACAAATAAATTATGACAGTTTCTTAAACAATTTTTTTTTTTTGTGACAAAAATTATGCAATTTTTTTCTAGAGTTGGTCTGTTTTATTGCAGTCCGCGTTCGTTCGAATCTTTTATGTCTATTTGTTTTTGTGTTAGATTGCAATTCATCGGTATCATTTTGTGTCAAACGGACTGTACATGCCTCTTATGAAGTGGTTGCTGTAGACTGGTAAGGTCTCCATGGTGCTCATTCTGCTGATCACTGGATTGTCTGGTCCACGACCGCTGACATATAGATGGAATATTGTTGATTGCAGTGTTAAATAACAAAAGATCATCACAGTCAGGGTTACGCAATGTCTCAGCTTCTCAATGGCTACCCAGTAGGGTGTCTTGGCCGTTGTTGTTCCAGTGGATGGGTTCGAATCTCAGTTTGCCTTGGTTTTGAGCCTTGGCATGTTGGACAAGGCACGGGTAGGTTGGAGGATTTCACCAAAGCCTTAAACATCAAAGATCTGCATTTCTTCAAGTGTCATTATCAAATCTGATGCATGGCTGAACGATTCTGAATCAAACCATGATGAACTGATGATGGTGGCTGATTTTTTTCCAACATCTCCGAGGTCCACACACTTGTAACAATGTGTGGCGAATGGAAGACACCGCTTGGTGTCGCTGGTGTACTAGAGGTTACCGCACGAAACCGGAAGTCAGGTTTCATGCTGGCTCGCACAGGCAAGCCATGTTAACGTAAACTTGGCAACGGCTCTCGCAGCGCATTCGAATCGCGGGACCATCACAGAGTATAACCTGTAGTATAAAGAAGGATATATAAATGGATATCAGTGAACGAATGCAGGACCCAGGACGCATTAATTTCAGCAATACAAGCCCCTTTGGCAACAGCATCAACACCTGTGGTGAGTTTTCGACAGAGCGGTGTGTTACCCTAGTGATTAAACCGTTCGCTCATCAGGCCAAAGACCCGGCATAGGCGGATCCAGAGAGGGTTTGGGTGCGCACCCCCCTTTTGTCCTGAAAGTTTATTACTATGAAGTGTGCACCCCTACCCCGAACCCTTTCTCAAGAGTGTGCACCCCTCCTTTCTCAAAAAGCTGTATCCGCCACTGCCCGGGTTCGATTTCCCACATGGGTACAATGTGTGAAGCCCATTTCTGGGGTCAGCCGCCTTGCTTAAAGCGGTGTTAAACCACACTCACTCACTCACTCACTAAACAACGTCCAGTCTTGTTATTCTCCTGCAGCTGCCAAGCAGATCGGCAAAGTGTTGACCAAAAACGGTCTGATGTCAAGGACGGCTGTCAACCAGTAGGTTTCCTTTGGAATACTAGAAAAATGAAGCCATTACCTTGCCAGATGATGAAACAGACCATTCCTTCTTCGGTGGGTAAGACGTCAGACATTTCCACTGCTTTGACTGTTGTTTAGTCTATGACTGATAGTGGTTACCTCAAATCTCCATGGTTACAAATCTCTCAAGAAAAGCAGGTGCCTTTGCTGCAGAGCAGTAAATTCACACGAGGGATGATTAACCGAGAGTATTTCTGGTCAATGGGTCCGGAACTTATGTCATGCCTCAAGTTCAAGCCTCAGAATATATACGTATGTAACATATAACTGTATTGGCTATGTGACGAGTTGTCAGTCATCCATAATGATATAATGTTTTACTGAGTGAGTGAGTATGGTTTTACGTCGCTTTTAGCAATATTACAGCAACATCACGGCGGGGGACACCAGAACTGGGGAATCGAACCCGGGTCTTCGGTGTGACGAGCGAACGCTTTAACCACTAGACTACCCCACCGCCCTAATGTTTTGCTACCCGTGAAGGTCCGGGTTAGAATGAACCTTAAGTAACCCATGCTTGTCGTAAGGGGCGACTAACGGGGTCGGGTGGTCAGGGTCGCTGGCTTGGTTGACACATGTTATCGGTTCCCAATTGCGCAGGTCGATGTTCATGCTGTTGATCACTGGATTGTCTGGTCCAGATTTACAGACCGCCGCCATAGTGCTGGAATATTGCTGAGTGCGGCGTAAAACTAAATTCACTGACTCACTAATGTTTTGCTAACATTTTCTTATTGGAGGCAGTTGATCGTGAAGGTCCTCCTAATTTAGGATCATCTTCGAGGCTCTCTTCCCTCTCTTGGTTTCCCTTCGTGAATCTCGTAGCTAACCTCTTTGACATTGGTACATCTGAGACCATCCTCCCCTAAAGAGGGCGGTGGGGTAGCCTGGTGGTTAACACGTTCGCTCGTCACACAACATACTCCCCACACAAGTACAATATGTGAAGCCCATTTACGGTGTCCCCCGCCATGATATTGCTGGAGTGTTGCTAAACGCGGCGTAAAACCGTCTTCACTCAGTCATCCCCGCAAGCTGACGGCCTGACACCATTTCCGCATTAATGGCTGCTGAAATCAGACCTACTTGATGACAGCGCGGAAGCCATTTTGTCCGTTTTCACAGACAGAGAATACCTGGTCACTTTGATGCTTAAAGAAAAAGGCATCTTGGTTGTATGCTTAGGGTTGCGGACAGAATTAAAGGCGTACCGTCTTACACCAACAGCGAGGGTCGTACATAATATCGATCACCGGACTGTCTGGTCCAGACTCGATAGTCATACAGCTGGAACATTGCGACGTAAAACAACATGACTAGCAAATATCATGCACAACCCACACTACCCGTGAAGGTCCGGGTTAGAATATTGATCTTCAGTAACCCATGCTTGTCGTAAGAGGCGTCTAACGGGATCGGGTGGTCAGGCTCGCTGACTTGGTTGACACATGTCATCGGTTTCCAACTGCGCAGATTGATGCTCATGCTGTTTATCACTGGATTGTCTGGTCCAGACTCGATTATTTTCAGACCGCCGCCATATAGCTGGAATATTGCTGAGTGCGGCGTAATACTAAACTCACTCACTCACACAACCCACACACATCACTGTATGTCAATATGACGTCCACAACAACTTCATGCTGAAACTGTCACTCTGTCAAAGAGCGATTGTTGTGACCCAGTGTTTTGATCGGGCGCTTGTATCCCGTGGTCATAATCGCCTTCCAAAAGAGACGCGTCACTCGCAGTTTTAATAATCATTGATATTTTCTTTTTTTGCTTGTTTGTTTGATTTTTTTTTCTTTTGGTTGTGTGTTCGTTTTTTTCTGGGTATTTTTCCCACACGTCCTTTGCAACACCCATGCAACAAACGTCTGAAATGTCATTATTTTCCCGGTCCGAAAAGCGCGTTCGAAACGCAGCAAATGTAATCTCGATACTCAGTGATCGAATAAAATTAGTCTGAGGCTAACCATTTACTTTTAAGGGAATTTTAATACATATG